TCTGTATGTGCATATGATGTAGAACGTTACTCCTTCAACTTTTAAAATCGCGATATCTCAGGAATGGTGATTCTTGGAAAAAAAGTATAAAGACCATTTTGTAGATAATTTTAAGATCTATAATTTTCGTCTGAGCTACTTTTTTGATAAAACTTGCCGTTTTCGAAAAAAATCTAAAAAACGTCAAATATTGACCTTTGACCCCGAATAACTTTTTTAGCACACATGGGATCGATGGGGACTTTTGCCACTTTATTTCTAATGGTATACCCAAGGTCTCCACCAAAATTTAGCTCTGTCGGAATTTTCGTTATTTGACCACTATTTTTATGACTAATTTGACCGGACTAGGTTGAAAAATCACTGTTTTATAATTAAACACTAATTTGTTGCAGGTTATTACGCGGATCCCGAAAACTGCCGTTGGTTCTTTGCTTGTTTGGACCACGGAAAATCTCCATTGTCCGCCTATGAATTTAGATGTCCCTTCGGTTTAGTTTACGACGAATCCAGACTTCTCTGTGAATGGCCTTGGTTGGTACCAAAATGTGGCAGCGGTTATGCAATCGGTTCTGAAGTGGTTTACGGAGGCGCAGGATCCGTTACACTTGATCAGTACGATGGTTTGGGTGTTCTTGGTGTAACAGCTCTTGGTGGACTTCATGGTCCTTTACAACAGCCAGTTGTGTATAGCAACGTAGGTGTTGGAGGTATTTTTGTAAAAATCTACTGTGGTTATTTAATAATAATTTATTTTATTTTTTATGTAGGATTATCTGTGAAAAGTGCACAGTCCTTGCAAAGTGCCGGATTGCTCAAGGCTGGATACGCCGATGGTAATCTTGCTTACTCAACTGTGGGTAATGTAGGGATTGATGGATCATCTCTCACTAATACAAAAGAACACGGTTTTTATCGAGGTGATGGGTATGATGTTAAATCACAAGGTTTTGTTCATGGATCAAGTTATATTCATAATGCTGACGCTCACTTGGTAAATACAGGACTTCGCCAAGAACATGTTCATAATGCTGACACTTACTTGGTAAACACAGGACTTTACCAAGGACATGTAGCTGGAGATAAGACAACCAATTATGCACAATATGGTACTAATTTAAATTACGAAACAGGTTTGTCAGGAGCTGCTATTAAATCCGCAGAAGGATATGAGGGTAGTCTTCATCTAGTTGGTGGGACAAAAACTGGTTACATCGGTACTGCTGACGCCCATCTCGTCAATGGTCTCGCAGAAAATTATCAACAAGGTATTTTATTAAATCAACAAACTGGAACTAGTTTTATTAACGGTATATATACGCAAGGAGGTGCAGTTTCCGGCGATGACAATCCTAAATCATCTGTTGAATACCACGGGAACACCGGAACCACATATGGAAGCGGTACCAGCGGAAGTATAAATATCGTCGGCGGAGGATACTCTGCAGTCGGAGTAGCCACTGATGGTGTTCAAACCAATTATGCAGATACAGTAGCTCATGTGACCCAATCTCCAGTGGCAGTCTCCTCCATTCCTACTGTAACTTCCGTTCCAGTACCAACACTTAAAGTTGCCTCAGGATTTGAAAGTTACAACGGCGGAGTTGTCGCAAACGTACCCGAACTGCAGCACAAACTCCAATCTACATCGCATGGAAGTAGAGGTTTTGCAAATATTTCGACCAGTTTTGTCAACTTAGTTTCATCAACTCCATCAACAGTAACAGTAGAAGATGGATATCATTATCCTAAACCAACAACTGCTTTCGTTGAAGGACCAGCTAAATCTATATCAACCGGCACTTCTTTTGTTCAACAAAACATAGCTAGTGTTCAACCAGTTGTTACAACATATCAAAAACCTGTGATTGTTTCAACAACCCAGACACCATTCATTGTTGAAAAAGTAAATGTGCAACCGGTTGTAACTACATATAAAAAACCAGTCACCTCATTTGTACAACATATCCAACCTGTGGTTACAACATATCAACAACCTGTAATTGTTTCGTCAACTCCAGCTCCAGCAGTTGTTGAAAAAGTTAACCTTCAACCTGTCGTTACAACATATCAAAAAACTGTAGCTGTTTCAACACCGGCTCCTGTAGTAGTTGAAAAAGTTAATATCCAGCCAGTTGTTGCAAAAGAAAGTTTCGTTGGGTACGACTATCCGAAACCGGCTGTTAAATTTGAAGAAGCACCGGTGAGAACCACCGGTGGTAGCTTTAGCTACCAAAATATTGATCTGGTCCATAAAACTGAAGGTTACGCGTATCCTAAACCAGCTGTAGCCTTTGAAGAAATACCGGTAAAAACATACAAACAAGAAGCAGTGTCTAGTTTTACTTATTCAACTCCATCAACTATTAGGCCAGTAGTTGTGCAAAAAATTCAACCTGTAGTACAACCTGTTATCAAACAACACCAAATCGTCCAACCGCAAATCCATGTAACGTCTTACAATGTACCGTCAACTACAGTGAAACCTGTAATTGTTGAACAACCACAAGTTTACGTGTCATCAACACCTTCCCCGATTCAACCAATTGTCAAACAACAAGCTGTATCATTTTTGAATTTCCAGAGACATGAAACTGTTCAACCTCAACTTGAAGTGACCTCCTATAATTTACCATCGTCAACTCTCAAACCGGTTGTTACTCCTGTCGTCCAACAAAAACCAGCTATTGTATCCAGTTTCAGTATATCAAGCAACAGTGAAGGTTATCACTACGAAAAACCTAAAATAGTTTTTGAAGAAAAGCCTGTTGTCATTTATCAACAACCAGCATTACAAAAAACTGTAGTAGCCAGTCAACCAGTTTACTCAACTTACAATTATCAAACACCAGTCAGTACTTACAATTACAAGAATGTTGTGAAATCAGCAGCCAATCTAGGATATTCATATCCAAAACCTACAATTTCTTTTGAAGAAACTCCAGCTTCAGTTACTAGACTAAGTCATAGCCAACCTGCCGTATTCTCAAGTTATAGTTACACAGCTCCAACAGTACAGCCTGTGGTAGTTCAAAAACAAGCACCTGTGGTTACTAGTTACACCTACAACGCACCGTCAACTGCCAAACCTACAGTTTTCGTTCAACAACCTGTTGTAAACACTTACGTATCGTCTACACCTAAATCAGAAATCTTAATCCATCAACAACCTGAAGTTACGTATACACAGAAACAAACAGCAGTGGTTGCTCAACCTGTAATTACATACACCCAAAAATCTGTTGCAGCCACACCCAAACCTGAAGTCTTTATCCAACAACAACCAGTTGTTACGTATACTCAGAAACCTTTTGTATCCACCTATGCCTCATCTACACCTAAACCGGAACTTATTTTCCAAAAACAACCAGTGGTTACATATAAAAAACAACAACCGGCGGTTGTTTCAAGCTTCACCTTCACAAATAATGTGCGAGGTTATGATTACCCAAAACCGGTGGTACCGTTTGTAGAAGAACCAACTCCGGTTGTAACGTCTTACGAAAATCGTCAACCAGTTGAAGAAATACCGTTTGTTAAGAAAAAGACGTATGTGACTGGAAGGCAAACGAATTACCAATACGTGGAACAACCACGATTAGAATATAAACAACCACTTGTGGTATCAACAACGCCCAGATATGAGTATAAACAACAATATAGTATTGATTCAGGTTATGTGTATGACAAACCAGCAATTCGTTTTGAAGAAAAACCAGCAATTGTCGAGACTTACGAAGCACCTAAAGTACCAAAAACTTTTGTATCTTCAACTCCAAAAGCTATAGTTGACTACACTTACATCCAATCAACTCCAAAACCAACTTTTGCCTCCGCTGTTACCGAAATTGTAGCCACCAAACAACCGTTTACTTTCTACGATAGTAGACTAAATTCAACTCCTAAACAACAACAACCACGATTTGAATATAAACAACCACTTGTGGTATCAACAACGCCTAGATATGAGTATAAACAACAATACAGTATTGATTCGGGTTATGTGTACGACAAACCAGCAATTCGTTTTGAAGAAAAACCAACATTTGTCGAGACTTATGAAGCACCTAAAATACAAAAAACTTTTGTATCTTCAACTCCGAAAGCTATAGTTGACTACACTTACATTCAATCAACTCCAAGACCAACTTTTGTCTCCGCTGTTACCGAAATTGTAGCCGCCAAACAACCGTTTACGTTCTACGATAGTAGACTAAACTCAACTCCTAAACCTGTGGCCTATTCAACTTCTCTCCCAGTTGTTGAAACAGTTTCAACCAGTCGACCAATTTCAAAATATTCTTTTAGTTCTTTAAACGAATACAACAAAATCGCCAGTTACGTACCACCGGTTAGAGTAGCCGTAACACCAGCTGTGGTTACAACAAGCCGGCCAATCGCCAAATACTCCTTCAGTTCTCAACCTAGAGTTGTTGAAAATTATGTTGCACCAATTGAAGTAACTCCACCAACACGTGATTACTTGCCCGTCAAAGTAGCAACAAGCGTACCAACTGAAGCTTATGTAGTACCAGAAGTGGTAAAAGTCACAACAGCAAGACCTAGGGTTAAGGTCACAAGTCTACCAACTGAAACTTATGAAGTACCAGAAGTCACAACTGCAAGACCTAGGATTAAGGTACCTGAAGTGGTAATCCCAACACGTGAATATTTGCCCGTGAGAACAAGAGTCAAGGTTACTCCAAGTAGTACTTACTTACCAGTAGAGGAAGAAATAGTTTCGACTAGCAGACCAGTTCTAAAAGTCGCAAGACCGAAAACTATAATTAAAGTTAATGATTTCCATCCGTTACTTTCGGCCAAATTAGGTGCACAATGTACTTGTACATCAAATACAGTGAGACTTCGTAAGAAGAAGTTGAGGATTGTTGTGGAAGATGATGATGATGATGATGGTTACGTTGTTGATAATGAAAATAACAGCAATGACGGTGTGGTTGTTGAAAATTACCAGTACGAACCCCAAAAACTCGACATTACTCCAACTCCCGAAATCTACATTAAAAGTACCACTAGTCAAGTAATCGAACCGACTCCATCTCCAACTTATAGTACCAGAAAACGTGTCCGAGTTCGACCTACAACTTCAACGGTCTTGTACGAATCCCCTGTAACTCAAGCTGCTGAAATTTTTGTCAAAAAAGCTGTAACTCCAGTTGTTGCTATAAATGCAGTAACTGATGATGACGTAAAACTGGCAAAAACGTCTCTAGAAAGCCGTGGCTTTGATCGTTACGGTCCCGGAGGTTGGAGAAGTCGAAACGAAAAGTTACAAGGAACAATCGACTGTCAAAGAGCTGGTCTCTTCAGACACCCAACTCAATGTAACAAATTCTATGCTTGTCGATGGGATTGTACGAAAAACAGATACACACTACATGTTTTCAACTGTCCGGTCCATCTCACCTTTGATAATAATTTGGGAGCTTGTAACTGGCCTAGTCAAGGACCTGCTTGCTTGGAAAACACTCTTCTCCCCAGTGATTAATTATAAGTTTTAGTATTTATTCGCATTGTCCATCATTTTATTTATTACATCACCCATCACGAAATTCAGCTTTTTGGGTCTTGGATTATAGTACGTTCTAATGTAAGGTTTTGTAAAATAAAAACATAAAAACAAGCAACTCTATATTGATTAAACAACACAACTAGATGTTCAAAGTTATAGTTTTAGCTTCTTTCAATTGAGTCTTGTACATTTGGAGGATTGGTGCAACTTCTTCTTGTAAAAACTCGGTGACTTGTTCCGATGCACGTCCTATGTAAGTTGCCGGTTTCAAAATTTCATCCAGATCGCCGAAAATTGGTTTGAAATAGTCGTCCGCTTTGACTCTGTCCAAGAAATCGTTGTCTTTTCCGTGTTCTTTAACTTGGGCTCCTGCTTGTTGGGATAAAACCCGGATTTTCTCGTGACAAATTTGCCGATCGCCTCCTTTCTTCACCATGGCCATAATTATGTTTTCCGCGGACATGAAAGGCAACTCTTGCATGATCCTCCGTTCTATCACTTTCGGATATACAACCAAGCCTTGAGTGATGTTTTCCAAAACCATCAAAGCGGCATCGGCGCTCAAAAAAGCTTCCGGCATTGTTAACCTTTTATTGGCCGAATCATCCAATGTCCTTTCAAGCCATTGGACGGCATGAGTGTTTGCCGCATTCGAATGCAAAGATATCAAATGGCGGGCCAAAGCGCAACACCTTTCGGACCTCATAGGGTTCCTCTTGTACGGCATAGCACTACTGCCGATTTGCGTCTTCTCAAAAGGTTCCTCGATTTCTTTCATATTTGCCAAAAGCCTCAAATCGGAGCACATCTTATGGATTGAAGCCCCGAGATGTGAGAGAGCCCCCACGACTTGCAAGTCGATTTTACGAGTGTAGGTTTGACCCGTGACTGGGTAAGACTTAGCAAACCCGGATAATTCAGCGACGCGGTTGTCCAGCTTTCGGACTTTGGCGGCATCACCATCGAAGAGTTGGAGGAAGGAGGCTTGGGTACCGGTGGTACCTTTGGCTCCGCGGAAGCGGAGTTTGTCTTTGATTTGGCGTAATTCTTCTTCATCGAGGAGGAAGTCAAAAAGCCAGAGAGTCGCTCTTTTGCCTACAGTGGTCAATTGAGCTGGTTGGAGATGGGTGAAACCCAGCGTAGGAAGTGATCTAGAAATTGAGATAATTAGACTGCAACCAACTGTTGATGTATTGTGGGTCACATTCTGCTACTATCAAATACCATAATAAAATGATAACAAATTTCAAGTAATACAAAAAAAAAGAAAAGTAGTAGTTGTCGTAATATTTGCACAAGAGCTGTTTTATCTTTGATATAAAAAACACATTTGTATTTTAATTCGTTTTATTGGGGAGAATATTTTTGGTCTGAAATGGTTGGATTAATTTTTACAAATAACAAATTCTTGCGCAATAACAGCACAACGTAAAAATCTACATTTCGGTGAAAACTGTTATCAGATAATAAAAGATTAGAGAAAATTATTGATATTCACAATGTTTTTCCTTATATTTGAAATTATTTCAAACTAGAAATTAAGGTATATATTTTGTTTTGCAACAAAATAGTGCAAACAAAAAAAAACATTTTTTCATAAGTCATGAGATTAAGAATAAACTTTGCTTCTTTATCAAATATTTATGTGCTCAGTAATTTTTATTGACATTTGGTTTTTATCAGAAGCAGGTGATAAACTCCTATGTCCCAGCGATTCTATCGTCGCAATTACTACAGGTTTTAGAGTGGAGATAAGAGCATTGGTATTCTAGGGCACGATTTGTAAAAGACATGGAATACATACGTACACGTTTATTTTGAAAGATAATCGTACTCACTATTCATTTATCACGGCGGTAATAGTACACAAAAACACAAAATAGCTAATTTGGTAATTCATAAATTTTGCTAAACGGACCAAGTAAAATAAACATGGAAATAAATAAGAGTAATAGTCAAACAAGAAACTAAAACATATTGGAAATTAAAAATGTTGCGAGTTATCAACAAGAATATTAGCGTGGCATTTGAAATGAGTATTACAAAGAAAAATAAAATTTTATTATTTTATAGAAAAAAAGAATAATGGTAAAAACTGCAAATACATCAGGAAATAATGATAATAGTAGAAAAATGTAAATAAAGTAACAAAGGAAAATGTCAAGACAAAAAAAGATAATAATAAAAATATTTACTTTCTGTTTAATATGAATATTAAGGCAGTTCTGGCTTCCTCGTAAAAACGAAGATAATTTACAAAAATTTAAAGAACTATATTGTAAAAAACTAAAGACAATTTAGAATAAAAAAAAACAGATTTACAATCAAATATAAATATACTTGCCTAAAAATAAAAGACAAATACAACCCAAATATATCAAAATCAAATTCCCCAATATAGTTCTACAAATAAATATTATAAAGGTTAAAAATTCTAGAATTACCTATTTTAGTTTTTTAGTTCAATTTTCTGCGTATAAAAGCAATAAGAAAAAGAAAGAAAATTCGAAATTAACTTATTAATCAACTTTAATTAAACGCCTACGTTAGCAACGCTAATGCAATTATGACGTTACAACTTCTTCCTTGGTCGCTATACGACACCAATTTAAATCCTAAACGCTACATTAACGTTAACTATGTCTTATTACCTTTAAACAATTTTTTAATGAATGAATTTTTTTATAATTTATTTTAGTCTTCTACCAACAACATTAAAAAAATAAATAAGAAATTGACGAAATTAGAACAAAAACCACAAAAACATTAATTCAAAACTATTCCGAAAACCGAATATTTTTTATTGAAAAAAATAAATAGAATTTTCGAAGGTCAGTTCTCTGTAGTTAAACCGGAAGTGAATTAGAAAACATTTAAATCATGTGTCATGATAATAAAATAATGTCGGAATCATTAAACAATTATTAGAATAAATTTTTGGTAATGTTTGCAATACGATATCAAACAATGAATCACAATTACTTACTTGTACTGTTCGGCAAAGCGTGCCAAATTCTGTATAACACCTGCAACTCTTGGAAGTAACAACTCCAACCCTTCTTTGATAACAATCAAATCTGTATTATCTCCAACAAAGCATGAAGTTGCCCCTAAATGAATAATCGGCGCAGCCAAAGGACATTGTTTGGCAAAAACATGCACATGGGCCATAACATCGTGTCTCGTCAACTTTTCTTCTTCTGCGCATTCTTCAAAATTGATTGTGTTAACATTTTTCTCCATCTCCGCGATTTGGGCATCGTTGATGTCCAACCCCAATTCCTGCAAGAATAGTCACACTTATTTTCAATACATTAAACCATGAGTCAATTAGATTTTGAAATCGATAAAATTTTTGAATCATCAGCCTTACATCATTGAAAAAACAACAGCTATCTTATCAGTGATACAGTTTATCTCTGTGCCTCATTTCGATTGGGACAGGTGGAGAAACTGAAGCTAAACGAATTAAGTGCTTTTTTGTGGATCCTGAGGGGTGATTGTGACAATGACGAGTATAGAAACTGTAGGGGCTCTAATCCTCAAAATCCTCAAATTGGTAAGTGTTTAGGTGCAAATAAACTAATAAAATAGTTCATGCGAACTATTCCTGTATCAGATCTTATCTTTTTTATATGTTTCAACCAGCCTTTGTCCTAAATGGGCGTTGTTTGTGGGTTTGTGCTTACGATCAAATTTTTGAAACTTTATTTTCGATTTAAAGTTCATGAAACTTTGGTTACATACGAGCATTAACAAAAAATAATCACTGTAATTAGGCTAAGACAATAAACCTTGTCGAAAACATATTTGTTCAGATAATATCACTAAATGAATTCCTTCCAGGGTCATAAAAATTGATTGAAATTCGTTTTAACATTTGAGACTCAACAATTAAATAAAACCTTTATCTTATTTGTAAACTTTTATCCAATTGAAGATAACACGCCTAGTCTTAATTGTGAAACAGCATCAATTGACTCCAATTGACTCAGACCTGACTATAGTCACCCTATTTTTTCCTTCATTCACAATGATTGAAATTCCACCTAATTTCATAATTAGTCCAAGTTACTCCATTTTAGTACTATTTACAAAGTAAATATTGTACGACTTGCCACACCGTGTTTATTTCAACTGTTCCACTTTTCAGGTCCTCAACTTGATCATCATTATCTTATACCGAACTGGCTATAGCGGCGGCTTTTTGGGAGTCGGGGGCACTTGGAACTTGAATGAAGAGAAAAACCCGGATGCTGAAATCGTAGCATCGGGGATTTTCGTTGGATACTTCATCTATACATGCGTTTCTATCATAAGCTTATGTTTTGCTACAGCCGACCACAAAAAGTTAGTTGTGAATTTTTTATGTACTTGTAGTAACAATTACGTTTTTAGCACTTTTACTGACATTTTGATGAACATTATTGGAGTTTTCCTATGGGTTGCTATTGGGGCTACTGCGATTCATTACTGGAGTGGTTACCTCTTAGAACATAAATACCAAACAACGGCTTCCGAAAGAGAGGTAATTTGGTGATTGATTATTGATTATTTTATTTTTTTAATTTGTTGTATTAGGTGGGGCTGGCTATGGGGGCTTTGTGTATACTGAATGGAGCAGCGTACCTCGTCGATACAGTCTTGTCTGTCGTTTTTGTCATCAAGTCGAAGTTGTAAATTGAGTCAGACAATGACCGCTGATTATGACAAAAATGTTCGAACTAGAATTAGTTTTACATGAGTACTTTATACCGTTTGTATTTAGAATATAAGTTAAAATTTTTGTAATAAGTAAGTCCATCATATCATATTTATGCCTGATTTTGTATGCACTCCTTCCCCCACATTTTTATTTCAGGTGTTAAAAAATAATGTAAAAAATGTGCTAGGGAGTTTGAATGTTCAAATAAAGTAATGCTTTTTTTTAATTTTCATCAATTATTATCCCGTTATGTATTACTCTTTACTCAACTTTTGTATGTCACCGGATAAGTGAAACAACTCATACAAAAGATATAAATTAGGTTTACATTATTAGTATTAAATAAATTATTGACGTTTTTGTTAATAAAAAGCAATTATGGTGGAAAAAAATTAAAAATCTTAGTTGGCCGATGATTTTGAAATTTGGTATACGGGCTTAAATATTGATTCTCAAAAACTTTTCTTAATAACTTCTTGTCGTATTTGCCACATGAAAGGCAGTTTACTCTACAGAAAACTAGTTTTTTTTGAAGATTTCCAAAGTATACATGATTTTTTAAAACTAAAATTACTTCAGAAATTAATCTTTAACCAAGCAGGGCTGAATCCCAATCTTTTACAAGAGTGGTTTCACCTATCCGGGGGCACACTGTTGATTAAATTTTGGAAACATTAAAAAATCAGTCCACACTTTTGGGTACCATGCTAGTACAAGTAATTTTTAAAATGTTTTAATTGACTTTAAAACCTTACAATCTATAAACCTTTAAAATAAAATACGTAGTCTTTTAAAAACTTAAATTCTGGGCTTCTAACAAATCTGATAATTTCTAGAATTGTAAAAAGTTGCACAGTAAAATTATGTAGTATATTAAAACCATGATAATGTATTTTTGCCACGTATAAGATTTTGATCAATTTGCCATTGTCCCAAACATCAGTCCATAGATGAATAATTTATATAGGGTATATAGATGGCGTACTCATGTACAACCTTTTGAACTCGTATTCAGCAGCGCCTCTGTAGTTTGGACGCTGAACTATAGAGCAAAATGTGCCTTTTTTTAAATGGTAACAATAATGTTAATTGAGTATTTAGTAGAGGGAAATAAGTGCTACAGGCATCTTATTAGAGATTAAACAAAGAAAATAAAAGATTTTTTTAAAGTAATTTATTGAAGATATTGAATCAAATTAGTTAACAAGGTGGTTTCATACTTATAGGGATTATATTAGAACAATTATGTTCAAAGAGGAAGCATAAACAGTCTGGGTTGTCGAGTTCTTGTCACAAGGGTGCCGGCCGAAACAAATCTTCACATTTTTTCCATCAATGTCCACATTTTCATCACCAAAATTCACAAATTGTTAGTAAAACTTCCTTTACTTGTACATACAGCCCACAATAACTGAATAAAAATCTAAAAATCACAACTACACGTAAGCACTTTGAATTTCTATGAATGATGTCACCGTCAAAATTTAATTTTTTTCTATCAGAAGTGTCACAGCCAACCGCTAAAATTTTAAAATTTTGATACGAGCGCCTCTGGTGTTTGGACGCTAAATTAAATAGATAGACTGAATTCACCAATCTAAGAAACCATAGCATGCATCAGTCTGACAGGAATTCAAACATTTCAAGTCAAAATGGGTAAAGATATTTCGTCCCTTGTAAAAGATTTCAATTTTCTTTTCAAACTAATCGCTCTAGTACGTGAGTGTTTTCAATGCATATTTACAATAACCTCCCATTGCAGATTATCTGTGTATTGTGTGTTATAATGTGGAGTGCCGACTTGGTCGGTTACGGAGGCAGTTATCATTATATAGGAGGTAGTAACTACGATCTTATAGTAGTGTCCACAGCCGTTTATGTCTTAATATTGGGAATTTTTGTCATAATCTACCTTATCGACAACAGTAAAAAAATTTTTGAACTATTATTCCTTGCTTGTGGATGCATATTGAATATTATAAGTGGAATAATAGAACTAATTTATGACATAAGAAATGACGGAAATTGGGCTGCTTTCGTGTTAGGTATTGGAATGATTGCTGCTGGTGTTATAATGGCTGTTGACTTGTTCTTCGCATTTAAAAAATAAAATTTGAAAAACATTTCATTTTGTTTCAATTGTTGTATTTTTGTTCAATCCAGTAACCACGCCTCACCTGTCAAACGTTGAAAATTAGACAAACATGAAAGAAGAGTTTAAAAAACCTGCGTTTTATTTCAAACTCATAGTAGCAGTAAGATCTACTAATTTTTTTTTAATAAATTTCATTGAAAGTTGTAGATATTGTGTCTACTCGCCGTCATATTATGGTCTGTGGATGCAGAAACTTATGGCGGTTCCGGTACAGGAGCACACTGGAAAAACCACCACGAATTGATGGTTGTCACAACGGCTGGTTATCTGATAATAATGCTAGTTTTCTTAATAGTCTACATTTTTGACTCAACTGAACATATTTTTGAACTGCTTTTCCTATTTTTTGGACTTGTTTTGAGCGCTACTGCAGCAATTTACCAATTTATTGTGGGCATAAAATACGATGGGAATTTCGCCGTGTTTCTCGTCGCAGCCTGTGTTACTGCAAATGCCGTTTTGATGGGTTTGGATTTTTTCCGAGAAGTAAAATAATATTGACTACCGAAAAGTTCGTTTTTGTAATAAACAATGCGTCACCTATCACACAAGTCACTACGTGGGTGTAAACTACCAATTAAATGTCCTAGGGTTAATGTCGATTAAATTATTACTAAAGTAGTTGTCTCATTCATTGTCTACAGTCTTTAGAAGTAACTCGCGCGTTACGCATCGAAAATTAAAAGTCAAGTTTTGTTCAATTGAAGCAAAAGTGGATAATCGCGAATCGGTCTACGACGTGCCTAAAAAAATCACAATGTCCGCCGAAGTTGAAAATAACAAAGAAGAAGAAACGAAAGAACAGCAAAATTTTAAACAAAAAGTCCAAAAACATTGGCAAATTGGGATCAAAATACTGGAATTGGTGAGTGGCTAGTGGACTAAATGATTCAAACATAAACATTAAATATTGTTTTAAGTTTGTGCATAACGCCGAAAAATACGAATACAATGGCGCTGCTTTAGAAAAACTTTTTAATATGTATTTATTCCTCATCAAAATTGGAATTACGAGTAGTTATTTGAAACAAAAACAAAGAAGTGTTTTTGATCATTTTTCCTATTTTTCCCCCTAACATACTCATAAATATAGTCTTTCAGGTTTGTTTTGATAAAAAAATCAATAATCAACAATTCGTTACAAATACAAATAATTAAGAATAAGATGCAGTCATGAAAAAAAGTCGCCCAAATTTTCAAATTAAGGAGATTAAACCACGTTTTATTAGGTTCAATTAAGTTTTTTTAATTATTAAAAGTTCATATACCAGGTGAATAAAAAGTATCGAACCAAATGGTTTTTCGTAAACTAACCACTTTACGAAAAAAATAATTAGTATAGCGTAAAGTACAATTAAAATGTGATCATTTATCAACAATAACATTTTTCGAAATTTCTTTTAGTTTTCGAGTTTTGGAAAAAGAAAATTTTCAATGGCAACCCACCATGAGAATTTTTTAAATGAAAGATTATGATTTAAAAATTACCTCTAATTAAATAAAATTGTTTTTTAGCCAGTACTTTTTTTAAATAAATTGTTAAAAGTTAAAAGCAATTTACTGTTTTTTTGGCGACATTTTATCCAATATGTTGGCCATCACTGGCCATAGAAATTGTTGCAGTTCAACGTATTTCACCAAAACTAATGCAATGTAAGCTATTTTCGAGCAATTTGTGTACCGCATCCGTCAAATGTCAAAAACTTTAATTGCCAAATATAATAATAAATACAATTTAAAAAGCGCTCAATAGTAAAAATAGTATAAAAAACGCGTTTACAACCTCGCTACTGCGTGGCTCGTGTGCGTGTTACCAACTACTCGTATCACAATGAGAGTGTTTGTAATACTTGTTTTTTAATATACTATTAAATATTCTTACAAGTACAGTTGCGGAATTAAAATTTGGGGCAGTATTTTTCTGTCACTTTAAAAAGTTCACTGTAAACTACTCTATACTGTTATCATGACTGACATTTGACAATTAAACTTTTCTTCTTGTTAAAATAGTTAATTAAACAATCTGTCGGTCTTAGGAAATTTATTAATTGAACTAAGTGTAACTAAATCATCGCTTTGATCTATTATTATGCCACAAATCACTATTTTTGAAAGTAAATAAGTCAAAATGACATAAACGTGACAAGAATAAAAAATGAGGTTATTAATGTAAAGGTTGTTTGACAATACTGTCCGAAATTTTAATTCCGCAACTGTACTTATATTTAATTTTTTTTAAAAGGAATCGTTCACACAGATAACGAATAATACGCTTAAATTGGATTGGACAAAGTTTTGAAGCTTTCCTTTCCTTACTTAATACTTAATAACGAAAAAAAAGTGCATAGGTAACCAGTTTTTTTTTAGATGCTACGAGGAGATATTAAAAATACCTTGCCATTTAAATTAATAAAATTTACTACTATGAAATTGGGTATCCGATGCTGTTGCCACCTATATCTTTCTTTAAAAAAATGGACTATAATAAATATTGCAATTATTTCTTCCGAATTTCCTCTTTCAGCTCCTTTGCATAATCTGCATCGGCACCGTTTTCGACGCCATCAAAACCATGGGCATCGGCAACAGCGACCTCCACCATATAGGCATCATGTACACAGCCTACACCGGTTTCATCCTCATAACCCTAACATTCCTCAGCAGCTATTACCTCGAAGCCACAATTCCTTACAAAACCTCAGCTCTTTTCTCGGTATGTGGTGCAGGCCTTTTCCTCACCACTGGTGTTTTGCTGATAGTTGACAGATCGGCATATATGAGACGTTATGGCTCACCCATCAGCTCCCAATTATCAATGATTGTAGTCTCTGTGATTTTCGCTTTTGTCAACGCTGCAGTGTTTGCAGTCGATGCTGTTCTCACAGTACGCCGCCAGGAAGATTTCTAATTAGGTAATGAGAAATCCAACTCAGACACAATTGACATTTTTTTCTTTTCAGTTAATCTGCGTGGTGTGTTTGGGGTTTATATTCGAACCGGCTAATGAGATTCATCTGGGAGGAAATTATATGCACCATACTGGAGTTATGTACACCGCCTATACTGGATATATCTTGATAAATGTTGTACTGTTGGCCGGAAGAGCTATCGGTGATCGCATCCCTTATATCACTATAATAATCTTTGATGTTATTGGAGCTGGATTATTTCTCATCACCGGAATTCTACTCCTAGTTGACCGTATAAGACTAGCCAAAGACATTTTCCACCCCAGACATTATTTACTAACCATGATGACCGTTTCGGTGTGCTTTGCTTTCGCCAATTGTGGTATATTCCTCTTGGAGGCCTTTTTGACCAGAAAGAGGCGTCAAGATTTATAAGTTTGTTATCCGTAGGTTAGTTTAAGTTTTGTATATTTTTCATAATTATCGAAATCCGTCCATTTGTACATAAATAAATAGACAATACCTCCCAAGCTTTTTATTTATACCTCGGCACATCACAGTATGCGATGAACGCAGTCACACGGATTTAACGTCACTGTCAACTATACAAGTTTACACAAAATGTATCACTTTTTTAAATACCCTTTTGAAGGCTACAAACCTGTAAAGTACGTTGTAAATCCGGTTAGAGTTGTTGAGGCTGTAAGTACCTAAAAACATATGAAACCAAGCTTTTAGACTCTTTTAGGTACTATGTATCATGTGTCTTGCACTCGCAGCCGCCATAGACTCCATAGTTCATGACATGTATATAGCATTCAAAATAATCTTAACAATGACCGCTGCAGCTTTTGTAATAATAACGGTATACGATGTGATAGCAACTTCATACATGCGGCCACTTTTTTGGAACGCTTGGACTCTATTTGCGATCACTGGAACCATATTTTTTTTCCTTTGTGCCGGTGTAATAATAGCAACTGGATTCGGACACGTTCTACTAATCCTTGGTGTAGTTGCAAATGCCGTAACAGCAATTATTTTTCTACTAGATACTATTCTTATTTTGCAGTAATAATTGAATATAAGTCATTAAACTAGCTATAGTCGAAATTTCAGTGCGTTTAAAAAGAAACAAACCGAAGTGTATCCGGAAGAATATGAAGCTGAACCAATTGTGGTTATACAACAAGTACACCAAGTTACAGCCGAACCCAGCAAATCGGCCTTGAGAATAACAGATGAAGAAAAAGAACTTAGAAAAGTCGATTCAAAAATATCTAGAACCGAGTCGAAGCATAAGAAAGACTTGGAACCATCGACATCCAAAGAAATACCTTCTAAATCATCGCACCAAATACTTGCAAATGCATCAAAGGAGGGAATGTCACAACCATCAAGAGGAGCCTTGCAGTCATCGAAAGAAGGACCTTCACAGTCATCAAAAGAAGGACCTTCACAATCATCAAAAGAAGGACCTTCACAATCATCAAAAGAAGGACCTACACAATCAACAAAAGAAGGACCTTCACAATCATCAAAAGATACACAGCCAGAATCGCTAAGAGAAATCCACGTAGAACCCGGATCGTCTAAAGAAATCGATTCGTCTGCATTATCCAAAGACCTAGCTCCTGGATCGTCGCGCGAAATCCAAATCCTGAATCGTACATACGAAACCAAACGTACTGTTCACGACGGGCGACTAACCGAAGACGAAAAAATAGTGGAGCAAAGACAGAGAGCCACCACTTCGTATGGTGGTACATTCCATATGTCCAAAGATGCAGCTCCTTTACCAAGTCCGGATGCACCTTGCATCTGTCGAACCCCCTCAAGCCGGAAACGGTTAGGTATCCGCGGCTCCGGTTCCCAGATTATCAAACGATCAACTTCTGGGAACGTCCGGAAAGGGCCTGATGGCCGGTACTACCTTTCCGATGGTACCCCTCTGATTGAGCTTGAAGACGAAAACGGAGAAATTCTGTATCAGGACGGCAATGGTGTCATGTATACCAAAGATGGGATACCGATTATTTCCCTCGATGATTCATATACCGAAACGGTGAAGGAAAATACCCAACAACAGTTCAGTACTCGTAAGTTGAAGTACGAAGATGGGGTATGGTACACTCCCGATGGACAAAGAATAGCAAATGTTTATAAATGCTGCGATGGGAAACTTGTTACCGCCGATGGTACTCCGCTCATTGAAATTGATGTAGGGGGTGGTAGTTTTATTTACGAGTCACCACAAGGTGTTTTGTACTCGAGTGATGGTACACCGATTGGTTTTGAAAATGATAGAGAAAAAGAAGTAAACCGGCTTTATGAAAGACAAACGAGTAAATATACCACAAAGTCGGAAACAAAGTTCCAAGAACGAAGAGTGGGAGAACCGGAGAGTAGTGAAGATGTCTTGTATCTATGTGATGGTACCCCTTCGAAAAAAATTGAGACTCCTTCGGGCCAAATATTGTATGAGTATAATGGCCAGTTATATACCCTAGATGATGATGATTTACCGAGGCAAAAATCGGAACCCGTGTGGAAAAAAACGTCCCCTCAGGAACCATACGCGTCAAGACAAACTATTCAGTCTTATGACCCAAAAAGGGTTCAATCGAGGTGTGACAGTAGCCGTCAGCAATTCAAGTCGAGAGAAAATCTTCCACCAAGCGACCACAGCGTCCCCAGGTCAACCAGATCTTCAACACCGTCTAAAGCGCCATGCTATGAAGGTGGGAGCGACCACAGGTCAATCCCCAGGTCGAATAGATCATTAACACCCCCCAGAGTACCATGCTATGAAGATGGAAGCGACCACAGGTCAATCCCCAGGTCGAATAGATCATTAACACCCCCCAGAGCACCATGCTATGAAGGTGGAAGCGACCACAGGTCAATCCCCAGATCGAATAGATCATTAACACCCCCTAGAACTCCATGCTATGAAGGTGCAAGCGACCACAGGTCAATCCCCAAGTCGAATAGATCATTAACACCCCCTAGAGACCAGACACCCATTCCCAAGTCGACTACATCGTTGACCCCGTCCAGAGCACCTTGTTATGAAAGTGGAAGCAGTGTACCAGTCACTCCTGCTGGTAGTTATGCCCCCCACGGAAAATTGCAAGTGTGTGCGGCCCAAAAACAAGAATCTTCTACCCCTACTTGTCCGTATTTGCCCAAACCCAAACCTATGACTCCTCGTTACTGTCCGGCGCAAACTTGCATGAAACCCCAGAAGCGACCCTCTCCACCGCCCTCGCCCAAAAAGGAAAAAGCACCGTGTGCTGGTTCGAGAACTGTGGCCGTTTCTACGCGAATGGTACCTAAATGTCCAATGTATAAACAAAGTCAAAGTGCACCTACAAGCCCTCAACGGAAAGATGCGCCCCCACGACCTGTCAAAAGCGCGGAACCAGGACAGGGGCACCAGTGGCAACAGCAACCAACGGTGGTACACCAACAGTACGTCCAGAAACCGTGCGTTTGTGGAAATGTTCACTACCAACAAGCGACAACAGTCCATGGGACTTTTAGCCAACCGGAGACACCCAAAACGGTGTCACCTCCAAAGTCGCCCAATAAAGGCGGGTGTGGGAAGAAAGACTGCACCTGTCAGTTGTGCAAAAATTCGAAAGAAGTGGTCGAACCATCGGATAAACCGCCGCTACAAACCATTTCAGAATGTGATGTGGAGACGGAGCCTTCATCGAGACATAACATTCAGATTTCTCCAACTAGTTCATCACAACCAACTTCAAGCGATGTAAACGCATCCAAATTTAAAATGAATCGAGACTAAATCTATTTTTACAGTACGTTCCTGATAGGACTTCGCCCTCGTGTACCAAATGCTATATCTGTGGAGACAAAAATTGTCTCATTCATTCTCAAAAAGAAACAGGAAATGATTCAGTACAAACAAGCGAAACGCGAATGCTCAGAGCCTCTGATATTCAAAAACTGACATCAAACTTGCCCGGAACCGCCGATGACTATAAGAAATAATTACTTTATTTCATTTAAGGTTAATACTTTTCGTTAGCTTTAAAATTTTGATTTTATTGCGTTGTAATGTTTACGACAATATATACTTTTGGGAAAAGCAGAAATCAATAGTTTTTCACCCACATTACGATTTTAATGTAAATAAACAGTTCCTGAAGGTGCGAAAAGATAAACAACTAAATTCTCTGGAAACATTAGTTGTGCAATGGCTGATGAAATCACACAAGTTACAAAAGACGAAGGGCGTAAAAAAGCCCTAATGAGATTTTTCAGTGTAGATTCTGATATAAACGTGACCCCGAATCTTCAATCGTCTACATTTAATTTCTATAGTAAGGATTTCTTTCTGAAGATTGCTCAATTGGTAAGGTTGTTTATCAAATTATTACATAATGATTTAGTTATTTACAGCTAATTGCCATTATTTGTGTGGGATTGTACACTCAAGGAATAACAGTCTCGCCGGAGACTGTGGTGTATGCCTGTTTCCCGAATGTTGTTTTCGGTAGTTACATAATTATCACTGCTGTTATTGTAATAAGCTATGTTTTCGAACAAGCGATGCCTAATGTTATTGTCAGAGTTTTCCTATCAGTCGGGATGATTTTGTATTTTATTTCTGCCACTGTAACGACAACGATTTGGTTTAGCACAGCGTTTAGCAACTCGGGGTTGGGACTACCCAAAACCCTTCTTTTGCTCCAAGCTTTACTTAGTTATGTAAACTCGTTTTTGTATGCCCTAGACCTGGTTTATAATATTCAAAAAGCGGTGGAATTCCAAGTAGAAGGGTCTTAACTCAAAGTAATTAATCAAAAAATCAATGGGTCAGACACTAGTCTAATAACAAAAATTATGTAACAGATATTTTATATAATAATATGTGTCGTTAAAATAATAGTCAGTTAATCAAAAATTACAAATTTTGTTATTGCTAATCTTATTTAAGTTTATATGGTTAATACCCCTTGAGGTAGGTAACCAACAATACACCAAATATTTATTGAATTATTCTTTCTAATTAAATATAATTTAACTTTTGTTCAGATCCAATTCATTATTTTTGCCCACTAAAAACAAATATTTGTGAAAAACATCACAAACAATTATTTTTTTAAGTTAAAGACGACATAACCACACTTTCGCTGATTAGCAAAACGCAAAATACTCAACGAGACACTTACCTTTTCTGCTTTGGCTAGATTAATCCACAGACGTCTCCACGTGGAAAACTTCTTCTGATCGCTGAAATTATATTGCATTTCCTTGCTGGCATACCTGGTGCTCAGGGGAGACCGATAGTTGCAATAGGGGTTGTTATAATCAATACTTTCACTCATCTTTACTTAATTTTCTAAAAATAAAATAAGATTACAAAGAGTTCTCAATGGTACAATCACTAGGACGCACTTTTGAACAAATAAAATTTTATCAATTTGCAACTGACTTTGACGAGGTCTTCGAGAGGGATACGCATAGTTCTTGCGCAACATGTGACTTGGAAGGTTATCGTTAAGAGACCTTTGAGGTTTATTATCATGTTTTTAAAGATAAAGGCACCCCCAATGGTTGAAAACAATATGTTTTCGCAATTCTAAAGTTATTTTTGTCATTTAGGTTAGTGGTCATCTAAAAGAAACGTAATAGGACTTAATTATTATGTATATTCTTATCAAACTGGTTAAACTAGAAAACCAAAACGGTTGTTCTAAGCTAAAACACAGTAGGTATTTACTAGACCCAAAAATTACTTACTTTTATTTAATCAGCCCTCGCTCTACGCACATATTATTTAACTTAAAACTATCCTTTTTACAAGGCAATTTAAGACGTGGGTGTAAAAGTCTCTAAAACATAATAAAAAATTTATACCTACCTAGAGTTAGATAATAGGTATGTTTTTCATTAGTTAAATTTTTCCAAATACCCACTACTTATCTTTAAAATTAAATTATAGTAAATACAATTTCAAGCAGTTTTCGGTACAAAACTGATTAATTAATAATACTACAGAATCAGATAACGCCAATAACAGGTGTCTCAGGGGGAGATGTAGGTAATTTTAATTTTTGCCATTAAACATGGAGTATCATATCTGTCAAATGCTTGCTTCTGCTTCTATTCTTTTACGGAAGTTTTCGACATTTTCATATAAAGAACAAAAGATAAAAAAAAATAAAATGTCTTAATCATTTTGGGAAAAAAATTGTGGTGGCCCACCCTTTGGCCCACCTGCTTCAAAACAAAAAAACATGAAATTTTCTAAAAAAATATAATTTATTACTGTTTATACAACTTTAACATAATTTTTTACAGAAGTATCATTTCCTGAAGCACTTTTCACTAACATTAAATTTTTTAAGACATTTTTGCTGGTTTTTACAACATGGTGCCTATTGTTATCCGATTTTATCGTAACATAGGGTTTTACTTAGCTCCTAAAACCTAAAATCTTTGGACCTATCATGGCCCACCCAAATACGAGGGCCTAATTCCGTGCCTGACAGGATTAATTCCTTGGTTCAAGTAATTTGGTTACAAATGAAATTTTAATAATTTTAGTGATAATTTTGGTAATAATGATGGCAATTGATTGCCGAAACAAGTTCTTACGACGGTACCTAACTTACATCTTTTTACAACTGGGGAAGCAACTTTGTTATTTAACTTCAATTCCTTCTATTGTAACAACCATTCAACTAACAACTATAAAAGTTTGATTCAGAGTTTCGTTTATATTGTTATATAAATTTATGTTGTTATAAAAAATATAGTTTTTTTTAAACTTATTTGGATTATTTCTACTTAAAAAATGGCGTACAATCGACCGTGTTTAAGGTATCTTGTACAAATACTGTGTTTTACACTGGGAAATAGACTGTAGTTGCGGTTTTTGACAAAACAATTTTGTTTATTAATTTTAAACAAATAATTACTCATGATTATTTAAATATAAGCATGAAAATAAGGTAAAATATGTAAAAAAAACTCATTTTTCAAAAATTGTTGGTTAGGTAGGTAAGTACTGTATTTTTTCTTGAGACAGCCGATCTAGATCTAAGACTAAGAGAAAAAAGTAAGTGCATTATTACAATATTTACAGTGTTTGTGTTTCTAATCTACTAATAAGTAAGTATAACACATGTTTAATTATTATTCTTATGTATTTATTAAAATAAATTTTACTAAATAGTAGGTGATGTATACAAAAAGCGAAAACTAGAATTAAGTAATTAAATAATTTTCACTAAAACAAAGAAAGTAAAGAGGTTTTTAATGTAAATTCATGCAAAATAGGTTTTTTACAACTTTGAACAATGCAATAATTAATAATTACAAGTTGGTTTAGATGAATTAAAATCATAAAAAAAATCTCTAGTTCGTATTTTAATATTTATTATTTTTTTAATTAAAGATGAATATCTTAATAATTTTAGACATATAGTGAAATGTTTGCGATTCTAAAATAAAACCTCTTTTCCAACAAATCGACAAATCGTATTTTATTTTGTCTTGTATGATTTTAGTGATAGTTATATTTTCAATCACCAGACGAGGTTCTTCCACTTTTGTTGAGAATTTTCCACTGACAGAAACAATACAGACAATTAGTTTTATCGCATTGATTGCTGAAAAAACATTAAAAATTATTCAGATAATGAATTAAATCGTTTTGAACCTCATACATACTAAGGTCATGTAGTGTGCAACGAAGTTATTCTGTCGCAATCCCATGTAAAAGACATCCTTGTTAAAATACTCTCACGTCCTGATTTACCATTTTTCGTACATTTGTAATTAATGAGTTAAACCCGAAACTGTCTTTTGAGAAAATAGATTTATCTAAAGAGTGTCTGGAAGTAAAATTTAACAAAGATGAGCTTATATCATCCAAATGTTTGTGAAAATTGTTGTAAAATTACATATTTACTGTATAGTAAGTTATAAGAGTTACAGCTTTCACCAGTATGTACTGACCATTCATTTTTCATTTTATTTTAAAATCAGAAAATCAGAACTTTTATTTCGTCATTTTGTTTTGTTATATGCTACTTTTAATCAGTGTTTTTACAAATGACACATTGATAACTATTATTCCTTGGCTCATGCACTACTTTAAAAATTTCAACAATATCATAACTTGTTAACTAGCTCGTAAACAAATCAAAACTAAAGACAGCCAACAATTCATCGGTACTTTTCTAACATTTTACTTGTTTTGTAATTGTTTATGAGCTTATGACATAGGTATTCAGATATGTGTAACGCAAAAAAGCAATTTATAAAACGTGTTAGAGTTTAGAAACGTAAACATTGAAATTATTTAAGTTGTTTTACACACTGTTTTTTACTCAGTTTACTAAGTAATGTTTATCGTGTATTATTATTATCAAATGTATGTCGTAGTAGCTACTGTTATATTCCACCTGTTAAGAGTCAAATTAAACGATCATTATTAAGTACCTATATAGAGAAAAATTATTACTATTCATCGGCTGTCAATCAATAGTTATTAATATACTATTAATTGACGTCTCTAAATAATAAATTAGTTGACAAAAATAATTATTTTGAAACTACTGTTCTTCCGTACAAAGTAAATAAAAATGCTTTAAAAAAACAAGGACTCGCAAGTGTAAATTATAACATTAGTAGATCACTCAGAGTTGAAAAAATGCAATAATGTTAGAAAAATAATGGATTCAAGGTGTAACAAAATGATGAGTTCGTGACGGGAGTGTCTTGTTTTTAATTGTTATGTATGATTCAATTCTTGACATTTTTCCTGCAAAGAAAAACTCGACCCTGAACTACATTTAAGGGCTTTTCGACACACAAGAAGCATTCTAATGTTTACAACTTAAAATTTAAATGAATGAATGGAACGTTTTAAAATAATTGTGTTCCATAACAAGTGGGTTATTATTGCTTTGGCAGAGGACTTGGTGGAAGAGTTATGGTGAGGGAATTTACAATCGTTCGCGGTGTTATGGTGTCAGTATTTATCTTTTAGATATGCGCGCAGGTTGAATGCATGCATATTTTGTGTTGATTCAAAATACAGGAAATAAGCGACAGTAAATTCAGGTAAGGAAATTGTTGCACATTTATTATTTTTTTATTTATTATTTCTACAAAACTGTTAAAATTATCTCCACTATTCTCAATTTTTGAGCTTTGGATTAGTTCGCTTTCGCGTAAAATTCGGATTCGTCAAAATTTCTTTGATCTCTCACTGAACCATAGTAAATCGAGAAGACTTTAGTACAAGTTCTGAAATAATGAAACCATATCGGTCTTTTAAATCTAAAATTCACTATAATAAAAATATTTCACGCTTACTCGAGCGGTCCTCCATTTACAATCTTGAATAGCAGTGATTAGGGAGATTGTTAAAATTGAAGAGAAAAGGAAAAATGAATGATGTGACTGATTCTTTAGCAATCGGTGTCAATAATTCGCGCGAAATTTCTAATTTTTCTGTTTGAATAATTTGAGTAGAAAAAGATTCGCTAAAACCGCACCAATTTCACTTCCTGTTCGCTAAGAAAATGTAAAGTGTGTATTTATGGGCTTTCCAAGGTAAAACCAATTGTTATATGTACATGAAAATAATAATTATTTGTTTCATTATATTTACAGCAGTTGTATTTTTACAGATCAAGGGACAAGGAGTTATGTTGAAACGATTAAGTCATGGCCATTAATTTCGATAGGTGGACCATTTTGAAATTACTTGAAGTGGTAAGTGCATCAACAATTAAAAAACTCGTAGTAATTACCAGTGACGCATTTAAAATCAACAAAAAATAACGAGAGTTTGTCATTAGTGACAAGTTCAAGAACAGGCTGCAATAATAAAATAATTTATTAGTTTATGCTGCAATTATAATATTATAGTAAATTAATAGGAAGAATTTTAAACCAAACATTGCCAAGGCTTATGAACGATTATTCACTTAAATAGTACAAATGATAAAGTACAAGCAGCATTTTTTAAATTATATTTTTTTTTCTTTTTTACTTGAATTTCTTATTTCTAATTTTAATATAAAAAACCCAATTTATATGTGTATTTGATTTTAAAATAGAACAAAGCTCAAACTTTTGAGAAACACTATAAATCAAAGTACTTATAAAATTTCACACATAGAAATCGTTATTTAATCAACGCAAATGTGTACGAATATGTTTATCTGTATTTGGAATAAAATTTATCTTACTATTTTCCAAAATTTTTCAAAATTATGCTTTGACTTAAATTTTTCTATAGCACTTTAGTATTAATAAAGTAAAAAGTAGATTCCTGGCAAACAAGACCATGCTTTTCAGTTTAATGTAATTGTTACGCCCTTTTATTGTACCTACAGCAATTTAACTAAAAGTGAGCAAATATTCCTAAATTTTTCAGTTTTCAAACTGTTTGTTTTCTTAAAGACTTTAAATGTCACAATTAATAATTTTTATCAATAACAAAAGCCAAATTTTACTTGTTTTTTTTAGTTTATAAATATAACCTAAATAAAAAATGTGAGAGAGGTTATTTCAGAAATAAAATTTGTTAAAACAAATTACATATTGTTTTTCTAATTACAAAATCGTCGTTTTAATTATTGTTTTTTACAGAATAAAAGCTCATTGACATGTTGGGATGTTTGATGTTCATTAAAAGAAGTTTTTTTTTTTTGTTTACCTAATTATTACTTATTAATTTCAATTTTTTGTATTTGCTTCAGTTGTAAACAGTTTATTTACGAATTAGTAAAATTTTACAACTTTTGAAGTTTTTGGCATTGCGGAAAATATCTAATTTTTTAACCATCACTTCTTGTTGCATGAACACAAATACAATTTAAACTCCGCACACCAAACTGTTAATAATTTTTTTTCGGCATTTTAAATAAGTTGAATAACAATGAAAACATTCAAAAAATGCGACAATTTTAAAACTACTAGGCAATGTATGTACATACGTGTACGAGTATATGGTTAAAAAAAACACTAAGTATGGGTTTTAAGTTTTTTATTACATACAAATAAACTACATACCAGACCTTCGTAATAAATATTTATAACACTTATTTTTATCTTACTTACAAAAACGCGTCCTTGACAAAAAAAGTTTAACAATTTTTGACTTGACATGTGTTGATTTACTTTTTTCCAGGCATCTACAATAGCCTGCCTTGTCTTCAAACGCGTAACAGATGACGAAGCATCCCGCCTCCAACTCTACCTCCAAAAACTTTCCCGCGAATGGAGAATTTTAAACAACGTAACTTGGGACAACGTTGGGGCTGCTGTCGCAGACACCACTTATGGTGGTTACTTAATTATAACCACAGCTTTGTTCATCGGGCGATTAACCGGAGAATTGCCCACCAAAAATAGGATAACTGAGTTCGTATTACTCGGAGTGGGTGCTTTATTGTTTATTATTTTAGGTAAGTTTCCTTTTCTGATGTTTATAATTGGAAAATTATGACAATTAACTTTATCGATAGGTAGTTTAGAGTTCGCGGCATTGGACTCAGTTCCGGAAGACTTGGTGGACAATGCAGCCATCATTGGAACTTTAACTTTGGTCACTGCTGCTTTGTTTCTGCTAGATATGGGTGGACCTAAAGCGAAAAAGAATAATCAACACTCGCAAACCCCTCCTAGGTCTGTTAGTAAACCCCAAGAGACAAAAACCACAACGCAGCAAGTGTACGAAATTGAGAAAGATCTAGAAAATGAAAAGAAACAGATGAAGGGGTTGGAGAGTGAGAAAGAGACGACGAAAAATGGACATTTGGGTAATGGATTTAAGTTAGGGGATTCGAATGGACGATATAGAGATAGCATGTATAAGAAGATTAAAGACGAAAAGTCTAAATCGTTTGATATTTACGGCAAAGATATGCACAAGGACAGCGATACTGATGAGCCTGATGATATCCCTCCTAAAATGGAGGAGCACTCCCCTGTTTGGAGTAAAATCAGAAAGGGTAGACATTTAGAGTTCCTCTCGTAGAGTAGAGAGGTGGTGGATCGAAAAATAAGGCAAAATCAGATTGTTGTCACATTTTTAACTAACTAACTAACATCTAACTTAGTTTTAATTCTTATTTTGCTTTATTTCAGTGGGACAAAAACCGTAGTTTTACACTAACACAAAACTACCAATTACTAACATAGATAGTTTTGTGTTTTAGTGTAATGTGTTTTTTCTGAATAAAACTGTGTCCAAAATTAAGAGGACAATTTTGATCTTTCTCTTTTCAGGACAGTATGGCAAATACGATATTTTGTCCCCTTCTTATCTCTATAAAGAAAAACCCGAATCAGAAACGGACAGACCTCCCAGTAGTCCTGGCGATCCAGGATACGTTCAATACACGGCCCAACACTGGGGTGAAACCGTTCAAAAAACACCAAGGCATAGTCCGACGCAGGTGTAAAGTCGAATGTGTTCCTTGTTTTTAATTTGTGTGAAGTTGGTTGTAATTTTTATTAATATATTCGACTTGTTTTTATTTACGTTACGTGCGTTATTTTTTCGGGTTGGTGCAAAGGTATTGGATTGTGACGAAAGTGGTAGCACGTGGGGAACTCATTATCTAGGTTTCAAGGCCGTGACAATTGACAATGATAAACGATTCGTCAAGGAATGGACTTTTGTTATGCGTTTAAATCACAATGAATTGAATTTAGACGAGATTTTTAGCCCAAATTGATTTAGGAAAAAAAGTGATCAGTAACGCGAATTTATTGCTGTTTTAGTCAAGGGAAAGTTGAGTAGGTACTTTTATAGGACAGATAATATTAATTGTGAAAGTTAATAAATTTGGGAGTGACTATACTGACTGGAAGTTTTTTAGTTTTTATACACTTAACTTATCGTTATTTCATATGTGAAGAAATTGGCTACGTTGAGTTAGATCTTGAAAATTTATTCAAGCTCTATTGTTACAAAAACCTTTTATGCTTGAACTGTAATATAAATTTTCCTTGGTGATTTTACAAAAAAAGTTGATGCTAAATATCTTGAGTATATACATAATTATAGGAGTTATTTTGGTTTGCCTCAAATACTAATCTGAGATACTAGTCAGCATTCAGCAGGCAAAAGTGTGATCGAAACATTTTTTTGTGTAAAATATGAAAAACCATAAGTTGTTAAACATTGAAAAATTGAAAAAAACCTAAGCAATATAAGTTTCAGTTTTTTGTGTAAGTTACTTCTATAAAAGAAACTCAATTTTGGCGCCAGGAAAGGTTTTTTAAATGAATTCTAGTTTTTTTGACCACTCTCTATTGCAATGTTTTGCTGCTTTTATTAATTTTAAAACTGAAAGGTTTTAGTCTTGAGTCTTGAACGTATTTGAACAGTTTTAATTGTAAATTAGAACATCGTGTGGCAAGTTATAACTTCTGCACAACTATTAGAGTCACTCTGTATAACAAAAATTGCGAACAAAATTTTATAATTTATTCTACAAGAAAACAACCAATTAATTAGTATCGAAAAAACAAACATCTTCAATAAAATACTTTTATTAATAGAAAATACAAACACCAATAATTTTACATAGAGAATATTCCACAAAGGCCACCGTCAATGTCGGACAAGAATTAATCTTGGAAGATTTAATTCATATCTCAATAATAAATAATCAAATCCGGCCTTTCATAATGCACATCATGTGTATAATAACAATAATGTTTTCTCATAATTACATATTACTTAACAAACGAATTCCCATACAACAAAAGAATTTTTTTGTTGAATCAGAATTAAGAGACAATATAAGATATATTTATAGCTAAAACAGTCGCAAAAAATTATTAAGTATAAAATAATATACACTGCGTACTTTTATGGGTATGTACAATAAATAATGAAGTAATTGTGAAACTACCAATTAACCCCATGTGAACAAACAATTTCGACTTTACTGGCCAACAGCAAACCTCGATGTTTCCGTTCCACAATTACCAAAATTACTTCAATTACGTATAAGGGAATAACACGGATATGTGAGCAATGTTAACAATGACTATACAACCTAAGCCTACGACTAAACTAATTCCTGGAACTGCTCGCCTGCTCCAGATTAATATACTGCCTAACCAACCTGGAAATCTCATGAGCTTGTTCAGTCTGCAATCTCGTCACCCGTTGCTGCAACAAATTCCCACACTTCATATCCAAAAACAACGCTCCATCCTCCGACCTGACCTTCCTCGTCGAAATCACTTCAGCAAACGGCCAATGCTGCAAAGTCTCATGACTCGTCATGTCCAAAAAGTGGACTCCACTGCGATTAAGCGCCAAAATATGCTCTTGCCAATTCTCCAAATCGCCAGAAACGCGTTTCACAGCAAAGAAACTGCTACCAAACAGTGGCCAGTTGCTCAAAATCTGGAGGACGCGGTGTTTGGCTCGCGAGACTTGCAAACCGGCTGCTTGCCCCCACGAAGTCTGGACTAGAGCCAGCCACTGCGGAGGCCGGGGTTCCCTTAAACCCAAGACGGGTTTCGGGAGCAAAAACTTGACTTCTTTGAGACTCGGGGGGTGATTTAAGTCAGCCGCGCGGTGGAGGAGAGCCGCGATTAGGGCCATGTCGCGGATGACACTTGGGGGCAAGTTGGGGTTGCCTAAACGCAAGAGGAGGCCTTCAAGATAGTCAGGGGCCACTTGGTTGAACAAAACTTCAGTGTAAAGTGGACTAGCATCGTGTTTGAGGGGGTGGTACCAGACCGACCGGCAGAAGATTAAGTAGAAGGGTTGGGCGGCTTTGTGCAACTCGGTTGTGACGTCTAGTATGTATTCATCGGCGGCCAGAGGCATCGTGAAGGCATCTCCTTGGACTATACAATAAAGACTAAATTCTTGTTGTTCGGCTTCGGTTCCAACACCGATCAAACTACACAATTCTGCGATTACATCGGCGACCACGGTGCTACATCTAGTATTGACCACTCGTTCTGCTCCCCCTGGTAGTCTGTAGATTTGTCGTCTAGCACTACGACCGGCACTCACCGCTGTTACTTCTTCAACCGAGGGGACGTTTTTACGGCCTCCACACCTCTGCGTTTTTCTTAAATTAGCAAGACAGACGGCCGCAGTGCCATGACAGACTCGTCGTCTGTCCGAAGCAGCACTGGACAGATGTTCGGTCAAAAACGGTAAAAGGTTATCAGAGCAAGCAAAATACGCTGCGACGATAGAGAGGAGTCTCCAAGCCCGTTGGCAGGATTCTGGTGACTCAGACTTGTTACTAGTTGTCTGTTTCATGAGTTGACAGTAGACTTCGTCACGTAATTGGGCGTGTTTGTGGCAATGCTAGAAATAGATATTGTTATAAGTACTTTAAAAAGCGAAACAGCTGCGAGATTTGTGGAAATTAAAACCGGGATGAGTTTCTAATGAAGAAGCGATTAGTTTGTAAGGTGCCAAATATGTCATGTCGGATGTCACTTTTTAAGAATTGTATAAAACAATAAATGAGACTCAGACACCACTATTTAGGAATGTTTCCTTTTTAGTCGAGGCTCATTTACTTGGAATAAAGTACCGCTAAGGTACTAATTATTAAACAATTTAAAACCTTTCATTTTCCCGTAATTATCTGCATAAGTATAATTACTTATTTAATAAACAAATACTAAAGAGGAGGTATCCAATAATTAAAACAAACAAGACTTGAAAAACACAAAAAGCACTGTTTTTCGAAACTATAAAATTCCGACATATGAGAAATCGGACCTTTCGTTTCATAAATTTTTCCTTGGTTCTCTTTTCACTTTCAATTAATAAAGGTCCGATCTGATCTCTGCAATTACTTCCTAGATTCATTCTTTTGTTACACTTGGTAAAACTTCACACAACGTGAAAAATGTGAGAATTTTGTACCACGTAATCAGGTTTTTATCTTTTAGATCTAATAAAGGAAAACAAACCAAAATCCGAAAAGAACAACCCACGTGTAAAAATAAAAGTAGAATTTGTGAAGCTTTACAAACACAATAGCCCTCAATAAATTTAAGAATAGGTAAGCAAACCGTTAATTAGAACATGGTGCCAAAATTTGGGTTACTTTCCCCGTAAATAAATTTAAATTTCATCAGTCTTGCTCCATTATCTTTCATAAATAATTTAATTGTAATAAGTGTTTCGGCAACAAGCGTGCAACTCACCATCAGCACTGTATAGACACACTTCACTTCGGGCATTTCCGGGGTTAGTGGTAGATCTCCACAGTACCTCAAAATGCACTCAAAACACTCAACGGCAAGAGGGCCGAGCTCGGGGTCTTCTAGACGCAGAAGAGGGCCGTCGATGGGTGTCCCTTGCCATTTAATCAAATCGGTTTGTTGCTTCCAAGTCCATTCTTTGCGCTTTTCTTTGGATTTTATCGACGAGTCCATTTTGAGAAGTTCCAAACTGGAATAAAATCACAAAGTGTGGTTTGAGATTGTAATAAACAAATACCAATTAAGATGTTTTAAAGCTATTCCCATTTCAAAACTGGCCACATATTCACTCAAACGCGAACCACCGACTAAATTTTTTTATCAGCCGACTAGACCGCATGTGATGAGAATGTTTCGTCATTGTTGTTGCTTAAGAATAGCTACTTTTCTTTTCGATGGAATTATTAGTTTCAAACGTGCTCGATAGCAAAAGCAATAAAACTCCCATATTATCAAAAGGAGATCAAGAATCATTAATCGTTTCCGTTACACTCGAAGATCTCGCTTAGCCGTTATATAAATCAGCTAATGGAAGAAGAACTTGGAAATTTATGCAAAAATCACTCTGGTCAGGTAACCACTGAATAAAGATCAAGTGGAGGATCTACAAAATAAGGACATTCCGTAATTATGCTTTCTAATTTTTTACAATGAAAGAAAATCTTACAATTGTTGCACTTGGGTGACCAAAACGTGCATAGACGGTTTTAATTAATATCGCTTTGTTATTTTAATAGTGCTGAACTAAGTGAAGTCTTAATAAATGTAGTGAAACAGATACGAGTTAATTGAAGAAATGTGTCGGAAAAAATAAAAATGCATTACAGACACTAATACCTAGGTGAAATAATTGACTAACAGCGTAGAAGTTGTAACGGATAAGTTCAAAGAGAAACACAACATATTTTTGAACAAAGTTTTATAAATAAAAAAGAAAATTGTTTTAACGTCATAAAAAACCACTAGATACACAACATTGTACCTTGTCATAATCTACTATGGTAACAATAAAAAAATTACGTAATTCAGGTTCTTTGTTTTCTTACCAACACACCACAAATATGCTTACAATAAAACCACTTAAAAAATTAAAAAATCTATTAAACAAGACGTGTTCAAATAATATTACGAAGAAAAGAGTATTTAAATGACCATTAAAGAATCCATTTTTTTCAAATTTAGTTCCTAAATAAAATTAAACAAAAACGTCTAATAAACTATGTTTTTGTATGAAACAATTCGCTTAAAATTGTAATCAAACACAACAAGATAATTTTTAAATTACTCATCAATTATTGTTAAATTGTAAAATAATAAAAAAATTAAATAAATTAACAGTGAAAAAAGGAATTGTACTTTCTACCACTAATACGAAAAAGTACACGTTATTATTGCACATCGGAGATGTAACAACATTCTTAAACATTCACGATTTATAGCAGACCTGTTATTGAAAATGAATGTGTCTAATGTAATTATTATCAACTATTGGAGAAAGTGTCAAAAGCCAAAGTTTACCTTTCTGGAAGCAAGTTATATTGTTATAAAAAAAAATAAAAAGCCAAACAATTTCCTTTCATATAAGTAAAAGTGTTTTTTGCAATATTTCGTACTTTCAACAAAAGACCAAAAGTAAAAGTGATCACAATGTGAAGGTCACTTTGATTAAATTTTTTGTTAAATCCAACTAGTGTTGCAATGTCGTGAGTCGCATATTCATTTTTTTATTGATGTTTCAAAATGTCAAATTAATATATTATTTTTTAAGCAAGTGAAAGTATACTATGTAAACTATATATTTCATATTCTATTTTTAACCAATCATAACTTCACAATTAGGTCTAGAGCAACAGGAAATGGGACAACTGATCCAAAAAGTTGCGCCCTTTATTACATATTGTATATTAAAAAACAACTTAATCAATTTGTTATCATCGTTTTAAAAAATACTCACTCTGCTGACTGCCTAAAGTTGTGCATAGCGAACTGCATTAGGGAGTACTTTCCAGTCGGGGGCAAAGGACTACTCGGCGATTGTGCCCTTTCGCCTCTCATTTCGGCTCTCATCTCAGTCGGAGAGGCTGCAAGTCTCGTTTCCTGCACATTGTTGGCCTTTCTTGGTGAAACTTCGCTGCGTTGTTCGACTTGTGGTACTCTCTGCGGCGGCGATAATTTCATTTGTAACTGCAACAAAGATTACGTTAGTTCGGTACCATATGGCACGGCGATTTATTAAATAATTAAGAGTTATTCCAATAGCCAAAGACCAAAACGAATCGGATTTAATTGCGAGAGGTCGTTGCATTTGATGCAATAACCGTATTATTTTACGGTATCTTTGACTGTGATTTTTGTCTTGAAAAGTTTCAAGCAATTTATCAGGTAATAAATTTAAAGGTATATACATACCCATGTGAAAGGGAGTAATTTGGGTTTCCTGTCTTTTAAGACGATGAACCGATAAAAATGTAAAAGAAAAACAAAGTAACTGTAATTTTCTTAAAAAAAGAAATAATTTATGAGTTTATAAGCACGTAATGATTTTTGCCGAGGTTACCTCTTCACTTTTTTCAATGATTCGGATGACTTAACAAATAACTGAAAATTTTGACTGACCATTTATCTACAGCATCTTCGAACACATAATTTTGTTTTATTTAATTACAGATCTTTGTCATTTACTGTTTAGAAATTTTCTGACACATTTTGCCCATTATGCCACGTAATAGAAACCTCCTATAGTGACAAAAGGAAAATAAACTTTCAAACGACCCCAAAATCATTTAAAAACCATTAATAACTATAATATAATGTCGGAAACTTAATGATAATGCCAGGAACTTCGTTAACCAAGCGCAATTTGCAAGCAATTTTCTTAAACAACCGCTACTTGAATAAAGAAGCTTTCAAACACCTCAGTTTGCATCTAATTTATAACGTAAAAAGCGGAAGCATTTCGAATTAATTATGTAATTTTTCAAAATAATTGATGATGAAGGCCGATGATGCTGGATTCGTGATGTAATGTTTTGCATTCTTCACCTCACATATCATAAGCTCGTTTATTTTGTACTCGTTACACAATTTTCAAGTTTCTATGTCTCGAGGCGGTTGTTTGAATAACATTGAGTCAGATTTTTAAGTCTTATTTCTTGTTATCAAGTGCAATCAGAGCTGTTTCATCACATTCGCGACAAGCAAAGATTTCAACTTGAGGCCTTATATGACTAGAAAAAGATGGAGAAAGTGGTTGATGGATGATGAACAGTGCTGGCAGATATCTCCTGGTTTTATTATTTAATTTTTCTATCTGTTGATGTTCTATGATAGTTAATTATTATAATTATTATTGAAAATTAATATTACCATAAAAAAACAAAGTTAAAAATTGACCTTACTGTTTCAGACGGGTCAGGTTTAAGGCGCGGCTGAATTTACTATTTATAGCTGAAATAAATTTTTCATACAACGAATGTACATATATGGCTTCTAAATTTTTTTATGGCCACCCAATTCGCAGTTTGCAGTTATGCAGGGTGTTTAATACAAACACCACAAGCTGTAACTCCATTATTTATTGTGAGATAGATATAACAAAAAAAATATTAAAACGATGTATTTTTTCAGCAGAAATTTTTTAGTGCCTACTTTAGTCCTCTCTCCGTTTATAATTAAAAGTTCTACTAATTTAAAAATGTGAAAATTACTTTTTTTCGTCCACAACGATTTTTTATGCTTTTTCATATTTATTCGTCGTTAGCTAAACATTTACATTTCCCCAGACTGCACCTTTTCGTTAATTATAAAAAATCCGGTTTTAGTGTTTTTACCTGACAACTTTCCTTTTCACTAGAAAAACTTTTCAATGAATTTCTTCAGATAAAAAACAATCTGAGGAATTAATTCATTCTATATTTCTTCGCGTAATTGTTTTACCTTTTTTTTTCTCAGCGTGACTAATAATAGTATAGTAGTAAAACGTTACTCGAAGTTGTTGAAATGTGATTTGCAAAAAATAGTCCTTGAAATAATTGACAGTTACTTTTGTCCCGAACTACAACTTTCTTTTCTTTTTATGTGCTAATTAATCACATGGGCGTAACCCTTCCAGTCATCAACGAGTCATTTCTCGGCCCCTGGGCCTTCCTGTTGCCTCTTAAAACGGCTGTGACAGTGCGAGTTTTTTCCTTTCCAAGGTGTATTTTCTGCGGTTGTAAAAGTTTCTCCTCTTAGCACTTTCTTTCTGAAGATGCGACGCAATAATTCTTATTTTTTTCAATCGGAGGAAATAGTGTGTGCTCATCCGAAAGATGGTTATATAACCCAAACAAAATTAAAGATTGGATAATATTCGTGGGACAGTGTCACGCATGTGGAATTTTTTAGTTAACAATGGGAACTGTGAAAAATTGATTTCCGGTAGTAAAGTCACCTTCATGTTAATTGAACTTTGATTATCGTCCTTTGATATTGAAGTATGCGTTATTAATTGGCCGCTTGTGAAACCGTAATCAACTGGAGATAATCTCTTGTTCTCTAATTGGCATAATGCCGGGCTTGGTATTATTATTTTTTGTTATTATTACAATCGTTTGTTTAATTTTAATTCGATAATACGGACCGAATTAGGTATTTTAAAATAGAGCAAAGCACAAAAACCAGCACAATTTTTTCTACCGCTAAAGTAATTATTAGTTAGCAAAATATTTAGATAATAATAATAATAATAATTATTGTTAATATTAATAATACAGTAAGTACTCTCTAAAAACTCTCATAACAATAAAATAAAAAAACTACAATGATTTTTCATTGAACTTTTGCAATAGTTAATGTATTTTCAAGAAAAAACGTAATTTAAGTAATTATTTTTCATATAAACTCTTAGCAATAAGTATAAAAAAGTCAAGGGTGTATTAAACATCAATACCTAACTGTTAAAACATTCTGCAATTATAAGATTATAACAAATTACATTTAAAAACAACTTAGGTATACACTTATACAGTGAGCGGCAAAATTATGGAATAATTTTATTTATTAAAAGTAAAAATATTTTGTTTTGACAAAAATGCTCGAAAAGGTCAATTTTCTTTTTAAAAACTAGAGATTTAAAATTGTATATTTGGTTTTTGTTGATATTATTTCACTTTTTTGTATATTTTTTTTAAACTTTATGTACACCAATACTTTGGTGTTGACATTTCGACAATTAAAAGATCTATCGAATTAGCTAAAAAAATAAGGGTTTCCAATAAAAAAATATCGATGACGTCATTACTCAAAAACCAAAAAGTGTAAAATTTTAAAATCAAGTTGAAAATTGGGCATTTTTAAAGAAAATTAACCTGCTCGAGCATTTTTGACAAAACAAAATATTTTCTGTATTAATAGGATTACTCCATAATTTTTCCCCTCACTATATAGTTATAATGTCTCTACATCATAACTAGTTTTTTCTTCTTATCTCTATAAATAAATGAAAATAAGAAATATAAGAAAATTTGTTGCAATACAATGTTTCTATCCATTATGTGATTTCTTTACATTTTGTTTAACCATCTAATACGTTGGTACTTAAGAAAGAAATTAAATACAAAAAAAAAAATGAAATTATCAAACGAACTTATCAATGACAGCAGTTAACAATTGTGACTTTTAATAACAAATAATTTGGGATTTTAAGAGACGTAGTATTTACCTAAATAAAAATAGTTGCTGTTGGTATTCATATGTTCATGATCATCTGTAATAGATTTTAAAAATGCATTTCAAAATTATCTGCAAAATAATAATTCGTAAATAATTAAAATATAGTACTAAAATTTTAGTATAGTAATTTTAAATTACTAAAATATTGATAAAATATTAATAAATCTACAAAGCTTTATCCAAGATAATATTGACTCTCCCAACTCATAAAAATTTGTTTTTGAGTACGATGCCTTATGTAGGGCCTAAAATACAAAAACAATACCAAAATTTAGACCCTTAGCAATTTTCAATAATATTAAACAGTTCCTTGATTTTTTGTTAACAATCAAAGATTCAATGTAATTTTTCTTAAAACTGTAACTTTGATTTACTATAGTTTTCGTTGGGAGAGTCGATATTAAGATAATACGATTCAAAGAAGTTTTAAAGATACGGCAGATGTCTAAATAATTTATAGTTCAATTAAATCAACTATAAAGCCTACTTTGCCCTATTTAGTCAATCTATCATCTTACCTCCTTGCTCTGCTGAGCTTTCGCACTCGTGGTAGCACTGGTCTCTGTATTTTCAGTCTTTTTACTTTTGTTAACGTTTATTTTACTAGCGTTTGTTTTATTGACACTGTTTACACTATTTGTGTTAGCGACGTTATTGTTGTTATCGGATTTAGGTTTGGTGCTGACAATATTTGCATCACTTTTTTTAACCACAGCATTCTTGATATTCTTGGTGGGTCCATTACCATTCGCAATATTTTTAATATTGTTGGTAATTCCATTATTTTTCACTTGATTGTTGTTATTGCAGTCCTTGCCATCTTTGTCTTTCAAATTCTCAAATCGCGCCAAAATCTCCTTAACCGACACTTTCGGCTCCGCTTCTTCCGGAATCGTCTCCATCCTCGACGAGATAACATCCTGTTTTTTCTCCACTAGACTGTCATTAGTAACAAAATCGTACCCATCCGAATTGCTGCTCTCCGACTTGGTCCAGGAGCGAATGCTCCCGCAGGGGTTCTGCGAGTAGACCTCGCACTTGACCGTGAAGGAATTCTTCGACTTGGTGTCGGTCCCCGAGTCGGAATCGTGCGAATCATCGCTGAGACTCTCGGAAGGGTTGGAGGAATTCGCCAGACTGTCCAACGAGTTGGCCCGGAAATCCTCGGAAGTCTTGTATTTGGAGATTTCTGCCCACTTTGTCTTATTCATTTTTCCGGAAAGAGTCGGAACAACATCGCCGTGTTGACGGTACCGTGGCTACGTTTCGAATGACTTGCCGGCAACTGGCGAGCGCTAGCTAGATGAGCTCTAATAGTTCCGCTGACCCACTGATGACCAGCTTCGGTTTTTATGTGGGACACTGTGGAACAGGTGCCGGGGGATTCTTTCTCGCAGAAGTACCAAGTCGAAACAAGACTGATTTTCGGACGTGTTTGATACTATTTTGAGAAGTAAATTGCACCCACACGCGCAAAAAGCAAAGTTTGTTTCCAAAAGTACCACAAATTTGACGATTCTGGTACTACTTTAAAAATGAGATGGTACCCGAATCAAAGCAGAAAAATTGAAAATTCAATTATAAACTCGCAAGAGGTGAATGAATCCTAACGACTCCACTATGTAAATAATCCTTATAGAGCGAGGCTTTTAAATGGCCTTGATGAGAAAGTTTAGAAAATACCTACAAGTGATTTTATCGACACGATACGTTTCGTTAATCGACAGCTATTATTTAATTTGACAAAAATTGATAGATTGTATTGATTTGACGCAATGTAGTGAAAATTTAACCTCGGGTTATGTGAAGATAGTAGAAATGAACCTAGATGGTTGTGTTATGGTACATTGGTTGAGGTTACGGCTGTAAAATATTGGTTGTGCAAGAAAGTTACGTTGAGATTTATGGGTTGTTAATAACGTGTTTGCCAGTTTTATTCGATTAAAAATATTATATAAAAATTATGTGATTGCTGTTTCTTAATTACATCTGTAAATTCTTTAAAGAGACTACATCTTCCCAAACTGATTATTTTGCTTCTATGCTAAGCGTGGTTGCGTGCAAATGATGACAACTTTCTTCTTGATTCAATTAATTGCATTTTATCGAGAAAAGTTTTTCTATGTGTTATACTCTCACGTCGTAAGAATACAAACATATAGGTCTAATCACAGATGTGAATTATTCAATGCAATTTAATTCAATTGAATTTAAACAAAATACAATTATTAATATATTATTAAAAAATAGTATCTTTATTTTAATTTTTAAAACTGAATTTATCTTCAACAAACTGGTTATTCAATAACTGCGTAAATATAAGTTAAAAGACGCAATAAGTTATTTTTAAAAATTTTCTCAGCAAAACAAATTACAAAGCACGTCTGTTGTTAAATTGTTTAAACTGTTTAAAAATTACTGAAACCGTTTTTTTTTGTTTATTGGTATTTATAAATGGTTAGGGACAACAAGGAAAAGTCATTATTGTTAATTTTTATAAATGAGATGAAACATTCATTCAATTTCAACTAAAATTTTGTAATCTCAAAGATGAATAGTAGGTATTTAATCATTCTTTAACTACAAATTTGATAAATAAAATAAATAAGTGTAATAAAAGACAATTCGAAATAAATAACGTTTTTTAATTCAATAACCTCTTTAAAATCATAACCATGAAGGTGGCCTATATGTTTTTAATTATCAAGTTAATGTATACTATTTATTCAAACACAATCATTAATAATTAAAACATCATCACCGCTTCTTCGCACTTTGCACGATACAGAGTAATTACTATACAACCAAGTGTATCGCTTAGAAATCATCCATGCCGTTATTAGCATTAATTACAGCTAATAAAATTCTTCAAACAGCTACTACCAATGTGGCAATAAGTTTCCCAACTGGGTTACTCTGCGTGAAATTAGCCTTTGCCTGCATCAAGAAGCACTATATGAATGCAAATATCTTAACGCACTAATAACAATTGTAATATCTCACCCAAATGCGTAAAAGTTTTTTCCCAAATAGGCCATAAAACGAACTAATTAAATCTTTATAACTAATGGATTATACGTGAAACATCACTCACCTTGCGATTCTCAGCGCAGTATTTTGTCACCATTTCGGATAATTGTTGAGCACGGGGGGTGTGAAGACTGAGACGCCGTTGAGGAGCATCGAAACTGACAGTAGTGGGACGGGGGGCTGTGCAAGAGGCGATATCTTTCAAAGGATACGATTTGATAACTTGGAGGTGAGTTTGCTCTCTTTTAACCAAGTGGATACCCCAGTGGGATACAGCGACAAGTTGGACATCCGATAACTGAAAGTAAGAATTTCGAATTTTGAAACTAATAGTCCAGTCAACAAGTTGTAGAATGCATGACTGAGAACAGAATTTTTAATTTCAGGGCTGTATTTGAGTAAGTAGCAGGTAAACTGGTAAACATCCTAAAAGTCTCCGCTCGTCAATTGTGAAGGGGGCGCAGCAGATACCAAGAAGATGCTCTCTTCTGCTTCTCCACAAAACAGTGCTTGTTACGGCAAAAATATTGTTATGTACAAAATTTAAGCTTATAAAATTTTCTACAGATAGTTTTCACAAGATTTTTGTATCTCAAATAGTTTTCTAATCGCTAGCAAATATGAGAGCATTTTGGAGACCCGAGGACTTTTAGTATGTATCCCTTCTAACTGGTCCAAACATAGCCCTGAAATCAAAAATTCTGTTCCCAACCATGTATACTACAACCCCTTTTTGAGCGTTCATCGACTATAAACCAAGTTTTGAAAATTAGTACCTGTGCAGCCCCTGAAACCGGAAACAACCGGGCAAAATACAAAGGCCACGTCCGGGCCAACTCAATCACGTTTCGCTTAATATTGGCCCTATGTGAACTGTTGTAATTCTCGGCGGTTATGCCATAACCTGATAGCATGTTGACCCCAGCCCGTTTTTCGGTTTGGGTTAGTCGGAGACAAGGAGTGAGGCCGTAAACGTCACCAACGATTTGGCAGAAGATCAAGTGCAGGATCGAAGGGGGGCCCAAAGGCTCGTTCGGGGAGAAAACTTCTTTCCTCACTCTCAAAAGCCATGATACGCGGTTGTAGGTCACACACGCTGAGGCCCCTAAGGGTAGGAGCCGATTCGTTGTTTTGGGTGATTGGCTTTGGACCTGGTCTTGGCTCCGGTGGATCACAGGTGACTTGGGGGGTGGCGTGTGGATGGGGCGCATGAATTCTGGCCATTCTTGCACTAAAAAACACAATTATTTATTTTTATTTAAGCAATAATATTCGCCTATTGGATGCACTCGGGATATAACTACAGATTATTTGATTTTATATTTTGGTACATACGAGTATATGGAAAACTTTTATTACAAAATTTTATTTTTGGTCGTATTTCTAGGAAATCATGGCTTTTAAATTAATTTGAGCTTCATGTTTATAAAAGAAATCAAAGAAATTAACAATTTAAAGAAATATTATAACTATAATAACTATCTACATTATTAATTTACATAATTACCTAATTATTAATTTATGGTTCAAGGAATTGATTATAATTAGGAGAGTTAATAATCAACAAAAGTTTCCAGCGATTTATTTTGAATTTGATTTAAAAATTCTCCATAATAGTGGTCGATGGTGATATTTTAGTTTTTTTTTTTCATCATGCGATCACTTACCGTCATTTCGGTCCGTCTTGTCTGTCATCTGCGTCGACGCAATCGAATGCTTCTTTTCCCTCTCTTGCGCACTCTTATTAAACTGGTGTGTTCTAAACGTCGGTCTTTCCCCTGTGTCTTTCCCAACTTTCTTTCTTTCGGTTTCCCAACGTTCACTTATAATCCTTCTCGGTTGATCGCTTGAAGTAATCGTTGTTGAGTCAGCTTGATCCCAGCTGTCTCGCGACAACCTCCCATCTGCCTTATCTAAATCTAATGCGTCTTTAGCCCAATGAGTGCTATCGTCTTGAGTTTCATGCGTTATGGCACTCTGTACTTCCCAATTGGCACTAAACGAGTTCCTCTTGGAACTATTCTGCAAAACCCGGTTTTGGTGGACACCAAAAGTATCCCTATCTTGGCGCTGAGCCATAAAAGATTCACGCACAGGCTCCACTGGGGGTGGGGGTTGGTTGGGTCGAATCACAGGAGGGGGCGGAGCCGGCCCGGGAGGAGCTGGAGGAAGAGAGTTGGGTCCGATTGGTGGTGGAGGGGGACCGGGTTTCCAGTTGGAACTTGACCAGCTCTGTTGAGTCGGAGAGGTACTTCCGTTGTGACTAATCTGTGAACCCTGCTTGTTTAGAAAAGTGGGAAAAAGGAATGAAAAACTTACATGAGGAGGAGTGACTGGACTTGACTTCCCGCTGGGTAAGTCCTGAGAGTCGTCACCCCATCTCCCGGCGAGTTGTTGCTCCAACATCATTTTCCTCGTATCTTCCAATTTATTAACAGCACGAGCTGGTTTTTCCACATGACTACTTGTGGATCGCACCGAGTGGTTCGCGGTGACTTTTTCTAGTCTTTGACGCATTTCAGAACTGAGTTTGAGTTTTCCGACGCTCCCTGGGGACGGCCTGGAAGCCCCGATCTCAAATGAACGTTTTGAAGTTACTTTAGTCGGCCGTTCCGGCTCTCGTACTATGGGTTCAAACTCGATTTCCTCCCATTCGGCCGAAGATTGCTCGACTTTCGGATGTCCATTTGTCATTGATTGGTCTCTGACCGGTGTGATTTTTCTCTGGCTTTGGCGCATTTTAAAATGCATAAAATCTTCCCCATTTTCAGTCACTTTTTCATCTTTCGGTGGTGGCCACCGCCATTTGCCTATTCGGACAGTTTTGGCGCGGCCATATGGGTCTAAAAATGGTCGAGCTTCACTAGGGTCGGTACCATCAAGTGGCGGAGGCATTGGTGGTGGGGGTGGTACTCCGTTTCTGATACTCATGTTAGACTCGGAACTGGCTTTGCGTGATTTGTAATCATTTGTACTTGGAGAACTGCTCTTCCGGGTACTGTTAGATGTCTTGAAACTTGATTTACGATTAGGAGATGATTGATGGACTTGGGCTTTAACGGTGGTTTGTATGGCTTCGTTGACTTTGACTTCGTTTGGGATTTGTTGTGTTAGTAGTTGTTGCAGAGCTTGGTTTTGTGCAAGGAGTTGTTGTTGGATTTGTATGTTTTGGGCCATTGCTGACTGGAGAAAGGCCCGTTGAAGACTTTGTTGATACGTTGCCATGTCAGTACCGTTCGGAGGTGGGACATTATAAACTGGCATGAAACCCTCCTGGGTAGGACTCAACATTGGCATAAGTACTGGTGGTGACCCTACTATGGGTGCAGGAATGGTCGGAAAAGTGTAACTAGGACCAGCACCATTTTGTTGATGAGTGGTACCGCCACCTTTTATACTATCAACCAAATTGTGTTTCTCAGTCAGATTTTTCAAACTATCATTTATAAAAATCGGTCGAAACAAATCGCTAATGTAATCATCAACATTGCCTTTATCGGCGGAAGTTCTCGAAGTACTTGGCTGTGACGTCCCAGAAGTCAATTGCTCAACTTCCTGATCTAGAACAGAACTACCTTGACTGTCTCGTCGGTTTCGGTGCCCTCCACCTTTTATTTTCTTTGCAATGTAACCAGCATTAGACATATCCAAACTTTCGTCAACAGTACCCAAAACATCATCAAGAAAATCAGAATAGTCGTCTCGAGTACCACCTTTGATACTCGCAGCCAAGGAACGAGCATCACTCAATTCATCTAAATTCCCGTCAAGTACTGGACTAAACAACTCGTCCAAAAACTGGTCAACGTCTGACGCCTGACTCGGTACTCTGACTCTTCTAACATGACTTGCCAAGCTTGGTGTTTCGCTAGTATCAGACATTGCTGAACTTCTGACTCCAAACTCTGATTTCTCGATATGAGCGCGGCTCGAGTGTGACCCCGGAGGAGCCTTCTTGCCGGTGTATTGCGACTTTATATACCTCGGACCTCCTCGGTGTGAAGTACTAACACTAGACACGTCGGGGTACTCAAAATCAATCTCTTGTTTCGACATGTAATTCTGATTGGCCAAAACTGGTTTAATTGGTGCTAACTGCTCGACAGAGTGGTATCGATCGTTTAATCTCGATTGACTCAACCCTAAATCGGAGAGTGGGGTCGGTTCAGGCTCACTTAGCAGATTATCCAAACTCCGAGACCTTACTTTTTCTATATCAAAGTATCGTTCATTGAGAGCAGAATTACGCGAAAGAGCTTCATGTGAGGATTTTCTAGCTGGGGTACTAGTCACCGGCGGTGAGTACTCTCGGTGACTCTCACGGGAGACTTTCCGAGAAGCTACTTGGTTTGATTTGTGATTAGGGGGCGACTGCCGTGACATTTCACGTGATATTTTCCGATTGAGGTGCGTTGGGGGTTCCGGTGGTGGTACTTGAGGTCTGGTTGGAGTTGTAGGTGAGTGATCGATTTCGGCAGGTGCAGCTCTGCGGGTACCAATCTTAAGAAGAGATGATTTAGATATGGGAAAAGCGGGACATAATTCTAGTTCGGATACAAGGTCCATGATGTAGTCTAAGCCGCTTCCTTCTGATACTATCCCGGCGTCGTCCATCACAACACTCCAGCCTTCCGCGGTTAAACCTAGCGAGTTAATAGCAACAGAAGCCGCTTCTTCGCAAGTTGTCCAAGAATCAACGTTGACTGAAGCAACGTTGTTGTCAGGAAGTGTTAAAGGAAGAGCTGTATTCGTCCTTTGGCGAATACTTCGCCATTCGAGGAGAGTCGGAGGAAGGGAGCGAGCATGAGGTGCCTTTTGCAAACTTCTTGTCAGCTTTCTTTGTAACAGTTCTTTGTAATTTGAAGACGCGTGGTCGGTTATGAATTTTAGAAGGTACCTGAAACGGGGTTTTTGAGAGACTTGGTAAAATATTAATATTAGATAACTCACTTGCTTAATGGCGGACTCGGCTGGAAACAACTCAAACAATGAGCCATCAGTTGCCAAATCCGATCAGAGTTCTCATTCCGCCACACTTGATTACACAATTGTACCAACAATTCATCTCTCAATCCTCTAGAATTCAAGGCTTTGTACACAATAAAGTCAGCAAGAGCTCTTTCCCGCGGTCCAGTCAATTGTCCATCGTTGGACCAGCGCAAAATCAGTTTAAACAGCGCAACAGCGTCTTGAAAATCTTGATCTCTGGTTGCAGCCTTGGACAGGAAGGGTGCTGTAATTGGTTCTTTTCTCATCCCAAGATCGGCTCCTTTAAAGTAAACTGAGGAGAATCGGGAAAACTCATACTGATTCAGATCATGCGGTAGATTTAACGGAGGAATAGTCCCAGTGACACCACCTAGAACCTTGATTAGGTTTCTTTCGGTATGTGGCGGGTTGAAATTTTCTATTTTTGAGAAAATGAAAGCCAGTTCTGCTGGAATTTCAAGATGGTGGACGCTTGATTTGGGTGCAGCTTTTTGTAATTGTGCTTCTCTAGCGGCTCTTTGTTTAGCACGTTCTTTAGCCATTTTCTCAGCTTCGACACGTCGCTTGAAGTCCGCTTTTCTTTGCGCAAAGCGCTTGCGTTCTCTTCGTCCTCGGACAAGAGCTTGAGCTTTGATGACTCCATGTCTGATTGTTTTGAATTGTTTTCGGTGCTTGTAACCACGCCAATGTTTCTGGATTGTTACGGTACTGCGTCTGAGGTTCTTGTAGTTCTTACGCGCCAAGTAACCTCTGATGTGTTTTTGGATTACAACAGCTGAGTCTCGGAGGCAGTCGGATCGTTTAATTTCCAATTGACGTTGGAGGTTTTCTCTGAGGAATACACGGGTTGCTCCTAATTGATAATCTGGTCCTTCTACAAATGTAAAATTGTTATTTTTGTCTAAAAAGTTGTTCAAATCACTCACCAGCTCCCGTGGAAGGCATTTGTTCCAGAATAGCCCGACATAAGTCTCTATACGGCGCACCTCTTGGCAACACGCCAGAAAGTAAATACCTGCGAAATCCGAAATGGTAATATCACTCAACCGTTGAATAGAATTAACACAGTTGTGCAAACGTTACAAATTAATAAATAATTTTAATGACTGGTTAAGTCATCATTACACATACCTATATCTTTCAACAAATTGCTGAAACTTCATCCTGACCGGATATCCCGACTGACGGATTTTAATAGTGTCCAACATTCCTGCATATCTCAGTTGTTCCAGAACCACCGGCATATCAAACCGCATGGGACTTTTATCGTTGTTTGGTTTGATACATCGGACGAACCAAGGGTTACACCGAGCCATAGACTCTAGGAGTTGTTGAAGACTGTCACTAAAACGGGCCGCAACAGTAGGTGTTCTTGGTTTCATCGTCACAAAACGGCCATCAGTGCCCTTTGGAAGGGTACGACTTTGGGTTTGGTTGATCAAAGGTTTGGCAATGGAGGCAACCAATAGTTCCTTGCTTGATGATATCAACTCGACCACTTCCGGGCGCAAAGCGTCTCGGTTCTTATCGAGGAAACCATCAACCGAATACCAGACTTGTCCAGCGAAGTGTCTAATCCCAAATTCACGTCCACCAACCCTTGGCCGACAGTAATGCTCATTCAAAGCGTGATTATAATGACATTTTTCCAAAAATGAAGCATCTGAAGCTCTTGGGAAGTTGCTTTCGTCGTCTAAGAGGTGTAGAATGCCAACTGGTTTTTTGCCCAAGAGATGTATGACTGGTGTGTTATCCATCCAAGTCATGTTAGTCCATTCTAGACGCTCCCTTGCATATTCCTGTTGTTCCAGTTTAAACACATGCTTGTTGAAATACAATTGTAATGATTCTGAGGCATAATTGATGCATAACTGTTCGAATGAGTTTTCGTTGAGATTTTCAAACCCGAAAATGTCTAGTAGAGAGATTCGAGCCGCGTCGTGAAGGCCGCCTCTTTGGACAATCGAATTGACACGAGTCACTAACCAATTGAAAAGTGCCGAGTACAGGGCTTTAGCAAAAGCATCTCTCGCGTCAAGAGCTTGATCTATACTTAAAGGCGAGTAAACTCGTTCGGCTCTAGCTTCGGTAATTCTTGAAGTCAAGGCTCTTTGCAAACCATTGGGGGAAATTTGCAAAAGATGAGCGGCCCACTTAATTTCAACATCAGATCCAACTTCCACACCCTCTTGGCCATGCCGGAGCTGCCTTCTATGGAAATATACATTTCCTAAATGTAAAACCGAGGCTAGAACCTTTATTATCCCTTCTTGTTCTGCTTCACCGACCCCTAACACTTGCATGGCTCTCGTAAGAGCCCCCCAGTCAGCCCCCGACCCAGAATGACCTGGCGCACAATCTCCGCCCCCTTGGTTGAGGTAAAAGTACTTATCAGCATCGACTAGACCATATTTCTGTCTCTCTGTATTAGTCAAACCTCCTAAAAGTTCATAAAAAACGTGATAATTGCGTTCCCCCGGCGCTTGAGTAATAATCCTCGACTTTTCCAAAAGGTACTGAGTGACTTTAGCACCGACGATAGCTCCATGTTTAAAATACACCTCGAGGTACTTCCCAAACCGCGAACTGTTATCATTCCGTGCTGTTCGTGCGTTTCCAAAAGCTTCTAGTAAGGGTGCAGCTTCGAGAATTTGCTCCGTGACTAAAGCCTGTCCTCTGGGGGCGGAAGGGGCCACCGCCGCTAGGTACTGCATGACTAATTTAGTAGATTCAGTCTTCCCGGAGCCGCTCTCGCCGCTGATTACCACGACCTGGGGGGCGGGTAGTGAGGAATAAGCGGATGCTCCCAAAGCGAAGAGATGTGGGGGCAAAGCGCCGATCATTTTGCCTTTATATCTTTGGGCCGCTTCGATTCCGTAGCTGGAGTCGAACATCCTGTAGGGGTTAACGGCCACGAGAATACTTCCCGCGTACGTGTAGATCAAGTTCCGGTCGTATCGCAGCTTGAGATTCCATAATAAGGCGGCTTCGTGCAAGTCGGTGAGTTGGATCATGTCCTCGACGCCGCCGGGGCCCAGGTCCTGGCGGCGGCGGACGGAGCCCTCGCCCTCCGTCAGGGCGAACGTTTGAGGCTAGAACAATAAGTAATGGCACAATCGTGTTGCGAAATATGAAGATTACAAGATATATTCGAGGAAGATTCAAGACAATTGATGTGACGACATGGCAATTATGCCATGCAGCAGGATTGTTCTATCGCAATAGAGTAAAATGCGTATTTACATAAGTCGTAAACACCGATTTAGTCAACATTCCTTCAATGTTTTAATTACCGATATGTAGTATTCATGCGAACTACCGGAGATGTTACTGAATGCAGTTGCGTGAGATGCTTCGAGAGATTTGAAAAGAAAGTGCCCTCAGGCTGCCTTTTGCAACTGACCTCGTGTATTGTGACTCCTGAACGTATAATGCTTCAACTTCTTGAACAAGATTGTCAACAAAATGAAAATACATAATGTAAACAATTTGTTTCTACATTTTTGCTTGGACAATGGAATGCAGTAATGTCTTGCTTGCTACATTTGCTTTTTACGATTCAAGGTTTTGTGATGAACACACGTATCCGGGTGACTAAAAACAATTTTTTGTTTGTGAAGCTAATTAAATACATTAACAAACTAATAGACGAAAATTAGTGAAACTAGTGCTTTTGATATATTAACATATAATTATACTTGTATTTTTGCATGCTGTGACAAACCTAGAATTAGAACAAAAATTGTATCAAGGTGAACAAATAAAGACAGATTCGTTTACAAAATGAAGATAACTATATGAATATTTTATTAAAATTGTTGCTTATATAGTTTATATTTCTTGTGACGAAAACAAACATTTAGCTATTAAAATCACTTCAAGTGATTATTCCTAATTTTTTTTCTAAATAATTTTACTTCTTCAACAAATCACTTCATAACACTAGGTATAGTAACTTTTCTTTTGTATATACATACATTATACAGGATGATTCAAAAGTATCGGGCCAACTCTCGAATGGTAAACGGTGATAGAAGACTTTCAGCTAAGCGTAAAAATTAATTCAGATTTTTTTCTAGCCTCTTTTTGAGAAAAACAAAACTGTCTATATTATTTCATATTATATTATATTATTTTAAATTTCTATATTATTGTGTAGGCTTCTTAGCTCTTTTGTTTCCCATGTAGTCGGTTTAATTTATTGTTGAATTTGATAGTTTGTTATTTTTTTTCAGCAAATGACACAAATTGGTGATTTTTTTGAACAGGTATCTGTTCAATGTTGCAAAATCTGCCGTTTCCGCTAACTAAATTTAAGAATACATCATTTGAACGGCCAAAAACTTAACCCAAAATCTAATTTTTGAAGAGCTATGTCTCGTGAAAAACGCATGTCATGGGTACTTTTAATTCAGTTGGCTGTCCTTTATCACCACCCCAGAAATGGACCCGTTATTTTTTAATCACCCTAAATTATAAAATGAAACAATAAATTTCAAGAATGTTAAAAATATTAAGTTACGTGACGTTGTGATCATTTTTAAATCATTAAAGTCCGTGAAACGTAATTTTATATTTCAATAGACTTTATGTCTTGCTCTTTAAACTGTTGAAATGCCTCCTAGCAAGTTGAATCCAATGATATTTCACGTTTTTAATTTGGACAGCTACTTTAAAATAGCACTTTTATTACCTACAATATTTTCTTTTTATGAAGCTTGAAACAGTTGGGATTTATTACCACAATATTACTCTTTAGTTCCCAAAATCGTGTTTTTACTCATTATTGTGTTCTGTTTTTTAATACATTTTTTACAGTTTCAAGTTAGGAGTTCATTAAATTAGTCATTCACATACAAAATCCTACCAAAAACCAGTATCTCATGTTTCAACAATAAACCACATTTTATACTAAGAATGTTCCATCCATTTCTCACATGATTCGAGCTTTCTGGTGGTAAACTTGCACAAAGACAGTGAAAGTGTAATTGTAACTCTAGATGTTAAAAAATAAAATAAACCAAAAATTCAATAGTGAAAACATAAAAATTGAATTTAATTGCGTATTAAATCTACCACAATAACCAAACCATTGCTTTACCAACACTAACAATTTATTAACCGCAGTATGTGGGCACTTGTAAATTTTGAAAAGTTGTTCTTGTTGCTGGCAAATTAATGTCATGTCAACTGCGCATTGTAATTCGTGTTGGCTGGTTGCTTATATCTTGAAGATCTTCGCAATGTATGCAAAGAGGAACACATCCTGAATACAATAAGAAGACCAAGTATTTGAACTTTCTAAATCTAGCTTTGTTACAATTTGGCAATTTATTTCGTTTCTTTGTGTAAAATCACATTTGCAATAATTTACCTTTCCGTTGATGACTGCTTGGACGGTTAACACATTGGCACTCCTGTGACATTCTAGGACCTCACCAGGGAGCCAATGGCCCACTCCTGGATCAAACCAGATCAGATCTCCGGTACTCCACTCCATGTCTATCTCCTCTCGGACATTTTAGAAAAATCCTGAAAAAATCCGTGAATCAGATGTAGAACAAGCCGTGACGAAATCTTCGTTTTCCGCACATCAACCGAGAAATTTCAATTCATATTCGCACAAAAGGCGATAATTATGTAAATTGACAACAGATTTTTAACTAAAGCTTGCGTATTTCAAGGACAATAGCACTATTAACTTCTGGGGAACAAAGAAGTGGAAGTATGTTCTTACTTGTTTTAATTCAATACGGAATTAATCTAGTTACGTATTTTATTTATTTAAAATAACTTATATAAGTGTGTTTAAAGCGATTCATTATGTAATTTCCTCAGAAAACTAGTGCTGATTATGTTCATTTCGTTTAGTAATAGAGAGGCATAAGAAGCATGAGATTTACAATAATGTTAATAATTTATTGCCTGCATTGACTGAATTCTCAGTCTTTGAGTCATTTTGTTAATCTAACAAGAACAACGTGTGTTCATTTGTGATAAAAACAAGATTTTCTTAATATTTCAGGGGATAAAATATGTATCTTTGATATTAAGCAGTTCAATAAATACGTTAAACATTAAATTCGTTGTGTTGTGAAATGGGGAAATTTGGAGTGATTTACAATAGAGTTATCAGCATCAGATCAGGCGTAAAAATATAGAAAGTTTCAGACTACGAATACTATTCAATCAGAATTATTTGACACGACATGGGTTCTACTGCTTTAATTAATGAGTTATAAGTAGATTATAAATTATCTGTAATAAAAGTATTATTTTATGGCTTGACCTAATCTCTAGAAGTTAGATTTAAAAAAATATATAAATGTAAAATTATTGATTGATGCATTTTAGTGAGAGATCTATATTTATATAAGGGGAAATATTATTGGTCCTTTTTCTCTCAAATGTTTATTTTCGTACATTGGCACATGTTTCAGGATAGCCATCCTCAGGCAATGATTTTTTACAATTGTCGAATAGACTGTGCGCGGTGAATTACAAAAATTATTGCCTGAGGATGGCTATCACAAAAATATAGCCAAAACGTGTAGCTCTGTATAACAAAATGAGATAAAAAAGATCAACAATATTTCCCCTTATGTATAAATGTGAAACATAAATCTTTGTTTTTATTTGCTTGTTTTTAACATTCCCATCATTTAATTTCTCAAAAATTAATATTTACTTAAAATATAGTGAATGTTAGTGAGTAAAAACCTTCTTATTGAACTGCTAATAAACTTTTGATTGAGAACATTTCTCTATAAAAGAGCGTAATTACTGTCATAACATTTTTCACTTTTACAATTTATTTATTCTTTGAGAAGTCCTCTTAAATGATCTGAAAGTGATGAAAGTCTTGCTCAAGTTTGCAATGTATTTGAAATCGAATTGTTAACAATTGCATCAATACTTAAATAAGAGAAATTCCTCATAAAGGATGCAATTAGTTACCAGTGGGGCCCCTAAATAAGAATAGCATCCATAAAATATGCAGGCAATAACACTAGTAAGATATGTAAATTATAAATTTAATCTATGATCAAACACTTGTTTCGATAAGTATCATAAATGACTTTCTTTCTGATTCATCTCAAACAACGGTTCGCGTCCTTCAATTACTCACGCATTTATCAAGGATGTTTCCGAAGATCCTTGAGTCAACCTTTCTAAAAATTGCAAAAATATTTGTGTGTGTGACTTCAAGGTTTTCTCTGCATTCTTCCTCCAACCTATTGACATTCTTAACATAAGAACGTTTATTCTATTACTCATTGCATTAATTATCGGTTTACGATACATTATATATTTCATAACTGTTTACTAAATACCTCGACTCTATTCAGACGTAATAATTTCGCATCGAAAAATAATTACCACTGAGCGTTTTCTGGTTCGGCTGCAAAATATGCGGTCACTTCCGAATGGCGACTGTTGAATTTCAAATAGGAAACGGTCTCGATGATCGGCACTTGTGGAGCTTTTAATAATATTTTCAGACTTTGCTAACTTGTAATCAAGGAATATTTCATGGATATTTAAACAGGTAACCGCCCATTAAATTAAGTAAAATTTGACGTGAAATTAATATTTCGGAAACTGCTGGACTGGATTTTAAGTTATGCTTTGTTATCAAACCTAAGTTTCCTGTGGTTATGGTTCCTTATATGATATGATTTTTTCCTTTTTTCGATTTCATATATTCCAGAAGTTGTTTCTGAAATTTGAAATAAGCTTTTTCTGAATTCCCAAAGCTTGCATGAAAATTATATACGAGTAATGTACGAGTAAAGTAAATTTCATTGACTCAAATGTGTACTAAAAAAAAGCAAAACAATTCACATATCATTTAATCATTTGTTTAATGAATGTAATGCAAGTCACGCAAATGTGTTTTACTGCAAAACGTTATTAAGTGGTGATATTTAGATACACATGAGAGTACCTACTGAATGCCATTTGGTGTGGATATTTAGCACTTTTTTACAAAAATATATTTACAAAATACAGTGTGTTTCACGTAATTTTACGAGGCCTGCGCCTGTAAGATGCAATCAATAATACATATTCATATACGCACTCGATTACAAATTTTGGGAAATTGAATAATCTTCTCTAGTTTGTTCACCCTTTAAAAAATTACAACGTTTTTAGTTAGTTAGTGATTAAGATAGATAAACTAGAATCATGCCGTCTCTTGATGGAACAAATGATAATTGTTTCTGAAAAACTGCACTTTATGACTATTAATGAAACAGTGATTAGTAGTTTGACTGTCATGGGTTTCCAAAAATTAAATAGTTAGAATTGTATTTTTTGTATCCAGTGTTTTGTAAATTTTGTATATTTGGGTGCGTACAAGCCTCGTAAAGTTGTGTGAAACATCCTGTATAATTATTTTTTTTCTAAAAATATCAAATTCAGCAATTTGTTAGAGTGTTAATTAAAATCAGTTAAGTACAATATCAAATAGGCACAATCGACTAATGTGCTGAGTAATAAGATGACAGTAATTAATTTTTGTATTCTGTTTTAATTTCCCACATGGTAGCAAAAACGATAAGTTAAAAAATATATTTTGAGACTAAAATTTTTAAAACAGCTATAGTTGCTTGAGACTGTCGCCACGATAAGCCAAGAAATTAAAAACAATTAAAATAACAATTCAAAATCAATTTTGCAACTCATTTGGTTATCAATTATTTTCACAGAAATTAAATCTAATTATTTCTATAATTATGAAATATAATTTCACAGAGAATTGACACCGTTAATCAAAGTTAATTTTCTTGAGTGAATCTTTTAGGCCAAGCTCCATTTGCACCTAAAGGTCGGTTTGTGATGTGATAATAACTGTAATTATTTCTCTCTCATTTTACCACAAAAATTGCAAAATTGCTATTAAAAAGCTGAGTCAAAATATTTCCAACAAAAATCGTCAGTGGCTTTACACGCAATGTTTACCGCGATGGTCAATGATCTCTTTGCCTTGGGGCATGTCTTAGAGTGTTGATCGCCTCTACAGGGCCTCGATAGAGCCTCTTTCTCTCGATATACGTGAGGCTATTCGACCTCACACCCATTCATGACGTGTGTTGAATTTAGGTATTGTAGGTCATGTCTGCGATTTGGGAAAAATCAATTTTGCACCTAATGACACCAATACAGTATTTACACAAGTACACACCTAATTCAAAAATATAAAACTTTCCAAAGCTTGTGTAATACAGCTGGTCGTCGGTGACATATTTTTCCGATTTAATTTGGAACTAAGTGTTTTACATTTTACAGTTACTTCAATGGAAAAAGTGGACTGGTGTAAAGTGATAAAGTGCATTCATTATATGAAAGTGTAGACACTTACGTGATTGCGATTTTATTTTCTCTAGAGTTATGTTCTGATTTTAATATTTAAAAATTCACCAACACAATAATTATTGTTATAACAGAGCTTTATCTACATATTCATGTGTAATATTATTTGCACAACTCACGTAACATGCAAGGCAGGAAAATTGTAGGTAGGGAAATTAACTGGGTATAAAAATTGGTTCTGTACAGTTGCACAAATTTGACAAACTAAAAACTAATGACATGGCTGTTTTATACAGTTACAACAACTACCAAATTTAGTCAAAGTGGTCAAAAACTCATCCCAGTGTTCAGACACTGACAAGCCTCTAAACTACTTATTTTTGACAGACTTTTTTAAGTAAACTTTTAATTCCATAGAATAAAAACTTTACGCAAATATTAGCTTAATGATTGTACGAGTTTCATGGATTCTTGAAGCTGCATTTTTTCGGCTTCCTTCATTTTTTATGTTTCCTCTTGACTGACCTTGAATTACCCAGTTTGTTGTAATTATGAACTGGCAATGCTGTTGTTCTTTTTTTAAGAATAAATTTAAAAATAAAACTTATGAAAAAAATCAAAACAAATAAAGCGAAATGAAATGATTTATTAAAAAAATCAATTACATTTACATCACAATAAGTAGCAGTAACAATGTAGATACATTTCCAATATTACAAATTATTGAACATGAAAATTTGTGGTCAAATGATGGATCAAAACCGCAAAGGAAAAATCCAACATTTAATGAACTGTTGAACTTGAAATAAGTCAATAACTCGTACCTACAATTATTATAAGAAAAAAAGGAAAATTTCTGTGAACGCTTCTTAGACTGCTATTAAATGCCCAAGTTAATTAAAATCAATTAAAAACTATTGAGATAGTCTTTCATCTGTTGTTTTGATAAATTGCGAAATCTGCTGCCTTTCTAAGTTAAATTAAAACTAATGGAATCAGATTTTGAGGAAACCTTGGTAGAATTTCATGTAAATGACAGTAAGAGTAGGTTGTAATAATAATAATTTTCCTACTTAAGTATCAAACAAGATTAATCGTTTAATTTAATTATCTGAGTAAAAGTTTGAATAATTATGTGGAATAAAACGAGGTAGAAAAGATGTCTTTAGCATTAATATCTACTGTCGTATTATGATTACAAATAATGTTTTGACTGGTTTGATAAGTAGGTATAAAACGTTTAATTTTCTAATAACATATTTAATCTCATACTTGACATAATATGTTTCCATCAATTATAATCACAAAAATCAAACTAGTAGGTACGTATTTCTGTACGTAAAAGCTCTGACGTTGTTTGGCTAAAAATCGAACTAAAAATACTAATATATTGACATAAAAACAAAACACAACTATTTTGTTTTGCTTCGACGGAAAGAAATATTAATTAGTGGCACACCTAATAACACTTGTTACTGATTTTAATACAGATTTATAGATAGATTAGGTAGGTACCTACCGTAAAACTTTGACATAGTTTGAGAGGTTTTGCCAATTTAACTTTTTTATTTGTTGCAATATTTTCTTGAAAAAATTAGCATCAGAACAATTGATCCTTCTGCTTTAACAAAGAAGCTTAAAATTTTGTCTCAAGGTTATAGTTTTTCCAAAAAAAATTAGAAAATTTGGTGTCAAAGAAACCCCGACTTCGGGGCTATTTTTACAGTCCCTTTAATTATGTTGAAAATCAAACTTATGCTAGCCTGGGGGGTGGGGTACTTTGACACCTTCAAACTAAAAATATGTAATATACATATATGATGTAAATAAACTTTATTAAACTCATTAAACACAAAACATAAAATATATATTTTATTTTATTTTTATATATTTTCGTTAAAAAAATTAAATAAGTCAGTTTTTGGAATGTTGTGGCTTTTATATGGCATAAAAATAAAATAAACATAATTTCGTTAGGTACCTATACTGAAAATGAAACAAAATTAGTAGCCCCATAACGTGTCAAAGTAACCCCGGATGTCAAAGTAACCCCGGATGTCAAAGTAACCCCATTTTCCAGTGTATCATAGTGGAAGAGATGACAATTGACAACATACAACAGTAGAAGATAGCCCAAACAAACAACTTCTATCACTTTCGACAACCGTAGAAAAGATCTTTGTTAGCTGACTCATTCTTTACAAATTCAAGTCAAGAATTGCAACTTTTTATTAGCTGACAGTAGGTGTGTTTCTAATAAAAAAAATCACAATAATTGTGCGCTATAGAAAAGTCAAACAAAACAGTTCTTTGCGAAAGTAAATCATTATTAATTTACGCTAGGATTTTTGTTGGATTTGGCAAAAACTAGTTTGCTTCAAACCGACTATTAATTCATGCCTCCAAGAGTGTGCAAAAATTGTATTTGCATCAGCTGAAAAACCTAATTACTGCATGGTAGAGTTTTTAAAGATTATATCATCAGCTATTAAAAATTCCATTGGAATGCCTATAATTTTAGATCATCAGTTTTCTGTTTCTTGGAAATCTCATCAGTGTCTACAATGTTTCCGTTCCAGTTTCAGATTGATTTTCTTTACAGTTGGAAAAATTAGTTCAATTTGGACATAGCAAAAGTGAACGTGCGATTGTTTCGTTTATCTTTTACGCCCATCTCAATTGGTACCAAATCTGTGCGATTGTGCTGCATGTAAATGCGAAAGTAAAAAGTGTTCCGTTATAAATACATATTTGAGATGTTTTTTTCGAAAAACTCGTGAATATTCGGAAGGTCAAATGAGTGGGTAATTATTAGCCGAGACATGTAATTGCTTGACCCGAATCCACAACAGTATAAAACAATCTTCCTGACAATCCTGACTTAAGTCAAGGTTCTGGTATTTTGATAACACGCGTTGAAGGTTACTTATCTCCACATTATTTCAAACGCATTTCCTTATAATAAAATACGTTTCTTAAAAATTCTTTTAAATGGTCAATATTCTGTGGGTTTCGCTCTCTATCGAGCGTTGAAATCACTTCATAATTCGTGAAGATGTGGCGCAACTGTTACTCAAGTCGGATATGAACTCACCGTTGCGTTATTTTTAATTATCCGATCATTTTGGCACTGAAAAAAATCACTTCATTTCGTATGATTTCGCACAAGTTATCACACTAAACACTCGAGGTAACTCAACAACACTGTCGGGTCGTTGGAGAGGTGAAGTAAAGGTGCGTCCCGTTAGGTTGGTATGCGTATAGAAACTAGCAGTGTTGGACGTGGCTGATGGTCTCCATTTTCTCGTCGAATGGGGATAGACGAATTTACCTGAAATAAGAAGAATGGGAGCCGAAGCACCTGTTACAAGTCACTCTCCATTATTGTGAGTGTTTATTATCGGTTTTTGAACCTGCTGGGATGCAGAATTCAACAGAAAGTGCAATTTTGAGGAAAAAAAAATTGAAAAATATGTGGTTACTCCTACCGTTCTTGAGGAAATAAAAGTATTGTTCTTGATTTATTTATGTAAAATGTCAATAAATTTGGGTCGGCGCCCACGTTTAACAGACATTTAATGATAATGGTGACCTCACTTAGAGCTATTGTTCTTAGAAACATTTTCCAAAACCACACCGTTATTTAAATTTCTAAATATTTTAGAACTGTCGTTGGTCGTTAGTAAATATATGAAATACAAGTTTTGAATATTAAATAATCTCAGTTTAATAAGAAAACAAAAGATTTTTTTTAACGAAAATGATAAAAAATGTTTGAAAAATGAAAAATTTTATACCTATGAAATTTTATTTCAAATATAATCAATAAAATCGCGTTATTATTATTATTATTATAAATACCTAGAGATATGCAACACAGAACACGTCTATTGTTGTACTACAGTTAGTTGATTACTTTAAAATATGATTTTTTCCAATAACAATAATATTTTCAGAAAATATACACATTTTTACTGGTCCATTTGTCGGAAAATTAACAATGCTATTTGAGTTTTATTTTTTGTATTTATATTTTTTATTATTGTTTAAATAAAGTTTTTTACGTGTTTTAAATATGTACTTGCATAATCTAAAAAGTATAAAAAAATCACTAATTTTTGTGCTTTAACATAATAATTTTTAGTAAGTACATATTTTTGGGTGCCTAATAAAATTATTTCCCTCGATCTGTAAAAAAAATTGTGTCATCGAAGCTCAAAATTTCGACCAAAGATGGCTCAACTTTCTTGCCGTGTGGTGTACAGTTACGAAGACATGAGATGTCGCAGCACTTCAATTTTAAAACACCAGCTTTACCTACCCAATGTTAGATGGCGCTAACCTCCAGAATATTTATAATGTTTCGCAAACACGAAATAAAACGGCTTATATTATTATGTTTTATTTTTATATGCAAACACTTAAAAATGCAAACGACAATATAGCATATATTTGCTTTGATTTAATCTTTGCCCGCCAGCAATTTCGTAAATAACAAATCCGGCCATTATTTGAAATTCAGAATAAACGAATCTACTAATCGTTCCCATTATCTACAATATTTTTCAACGTTGCTGATTCATTCCAAATTGTAATTTTTCTACGACATGCAAGATGGAAATAAAATCCATAAAAAAGAGCAAAAATAATAAAATTCACATTAATTTCGGGATGGATTTGGGGATTTTGATGTTATGTTAGGAGAAAAAAATAATAACATTATTGTGAGTCGTTGAAAGTTTCGCGTGTCTTTCGTCTGACATTCAATTGTGTTTTATTTATTACACAAGTTGGGAACGTTTCGAGTAGATGTAATTTAAAAATTGATGAAAGTTGAAAAAGTTTTCAAATTGAAATCATTTTAGGTTTTATGAAAATAGAACAATGGAAACTTATTACTTCACAATTTTAACTGGTCATGCTATGATTAATTATTTGCCGGCGTTGGTTTTTTGTGCAAAATAATTTGTCTGGGATTAAATATTTACGGTTCTCGGGGCGTTTAAATCGTTTAGGATATTGCAAGTTTGAAGAAGTTGATGGTACTTTCCGAGATAGACGCCAGTAAAACCCGATTAAAATGAATAATGCTATTATTATTCAAAAGTTGGAGCCGAAGAGGAAGAATGAGAAATTCAACAAAGCAATAGTTTAAACGTCACGCCTCTGCCATACTTTTTCATTACATTATCTATATATGCCGGCGGAGTAAATCAGCGTTATCAGGAGCTGCTGGTTTTCTCTTAAACGAGAAATAACCGCCAAGACGTGACACGCGCCCTAATGTAATTTTTACAACGTCGGCCCGTTATTCATGTTTCAATTCAGAGAGCCTATGAAAAAAGTGCACCCTTCAATTAGTCCGAAACTTGCTTATACACGAAAGCACTTTGCTGCAAATTTCATTCCTTTTCAGTAACGGTAAAACAGATCTAAATCCCCAGAGATCCTCGACATATTGAACACAGTAACAATTCTAATGTTACCGCGACCCCGCCACGAAAACTAATTTAAATTAAATCCTAGTGAATTACCACGAAATCGAGAGGGGGATTGTCGAGAAGCGGCGCGACGCACTGCAAAACCGTTTCAGGAGAGGTTTCAGGACGCGCGACGTGCCGCTTCAGAGATACAAGACAGGTTTTATGTGACAATTTAAATGAAATCCTCGTGAATTGCCATGGAAACCGCTTGCTATAAGCGCCTCTTTGGTGATATGTCGTGGTTGAGAGAGCTGAATTCAAAGATGATGTTTCTAAAAAGGATTTGCGATTATTATTTTTTTATACATTTCGTGTTTTAATTATTACACAAGTTATAACAAGCGTCCTTGCAATTATAATAAAGCTAAACGTCATTAAGGGGATTGGGTATTTTCTCACTAAATTCCTGACTTAATTGTAATTTTATTCTGATGAAGGAACGGCTTTTGGCTCAATGCTTGTTTTCGCCATCTTTCGTTGGTATTTGCAGGAAGTTAATGTGTTAATTTGTAATTTTATATCTCGTCGAGGTAAAATCTTAGTGGCAATTAGTGTGCTTTTAAAGCTTACTCTCGTTGAACACATTCTAACTATTGGGTGTACGTAGTGATTATTGCAGTGTTTATGATACAGATCGCGTTAATACTTCCGTGTTGCTTAATTAAAGTGCCATCGAGACTAGATATAGTTGCGCTAGTTGTGTTATTACTTTGATAATTCAACACAGCTTCTGGTCTTACTTGATCTTTGGGAACGATTGATTATTTATTAGACATTAATTTCATCCTTAATTAATGTTCGATTGTGAATCGTGTTTAGTAATTACACGCTTTTTTACGTAACTTTAAAAAGCAATAATATTTAGATTGCCTTTATTTGTTTGTAGAACAAATATTTCTCGCTGTTTGATATTCTAACTCTAATAATCGTCAAATACAACTCTAAAAAATTTCAAAAGAAACATTATTATGGAGGAAAAAAGTGTTTCTTTTATCTTATGACCAAATAAATTTGCGGTAGAAGTCGACACTGAAAAACAAAATTCGAGTTTTTGCTTGATTTACAAAAATTTGTACCGTCACCATTTGTTAAACAGCTTGTGTCATTTCTAATGCTCTTGAAAAAAGTACGTGAAAGAGTTATTTTGAGTTTGACTAATAATGACAGTACCGACAATTTTTTTGAATCAAGCAAAGGTTCAAGTTTTGTTTCACATATTTTTAAGAGAACTTTCTAATAGGTATTTTATATTATTTTTAAAAATATACTTTATTGTCATTTAAATAAAAATGTGGGCAAGAGTGACGTGAACATGAATTAATGGACAAAATTATTAGATTATATAGTGATAATCACACAAACTAGTTATTAACCATTGGCAAAAATATGGCAACAAATTTTTAAGGTGAACAATAAAATGATACTGATAATGCAGTATCATAGATTTTGACGGATTATCAAGAACTAATAAGTATACACAGGCTGTCCAACGAGTAATAATGAGCTACATTTCAAAGATAACGTAGCTCTTAAAATATTTGGTTCTAATAACATATACTACAGGGTGTTTCACGTAACTTTACGAGGCCTACGCCTGTTGATGCAATCAATAATACATATTCCGATACGAACTGGATTACAAATTTTGAAAAATTGAATAATCTTCTCTAGTTTGTTCACCCTTTAAAAAATTACAACATTTTTAGTTAGTTAGTGATTAAGATAGATAAACTAGAATCATAATCTTGCCGTCTCTTGATAAAACAAATGATAATTGTTTCTGAAAAACTGCAGTTTATGACTATTAATGAAACAGCGATTAGTTTGACAACTACTGTCATGGGTTTTCAAAAATTAAATAGTTAGAAGTGTATTTTTTGTATCTAGTGTTTTGTGACTTTTGTATAGTTGGGTGCTTACCTTAGGCGCAACCCTCGTAAAGTTGTGTGAAACGTCCTGTATACCTACCTACCTCTGTCTCAAATTATGGTATAGATATACTCGTACCATATCTACCTACCTACATTTAGCTAAATGTATAGGCAAATGTATAACATAATTCGGGACCGAGGTATAGTAATTTATTGTTTATAAACATAGTGACCAAACAGCACTTCAACTTTATCCAAAAAAAAAAGAAATAAATACTAACTTATTAGGTAAAAAAAAATATTTTTTTTATAAAAAGTCAAACCGTAGTAAATGCGTGTATCTACAAAATTAATAGCTGGATTTTAACTCTCTGCACCACCTAGAATTATTTTCAAGTATACAAGGTGACTGAAAAATAAGTTACAATACAAACTTATATTTTTTTAATAAAACGCCTTTTGTTTTTTTGATTTTAGTTCCGATGACTTTGCTTAGTTTTTAAAATATGTGTTTAGATTTTTTTGACAGAAACACATTTTTTTTTAATTTATTACTAAAATTGTTGTTTAATAATGATTAAGCAAGTTAAATAAATATTGCGACAATCTAAAAATAATAATAAATCCTCCTCCGGAACCCCGAGTAACTTCGATCACATTTGGGTGATCTGTACTTCCAAGGTTGAAAGCAAGTGCGAAAGCACGCATGCAATTGTAGTTGTTTAATAAAAACTAAAATTTAAAAAAATATATACAGAACTCGCGCTCCAGGTAAAAAATCAAGTAAGATAAGGTCCGAGGAACATGGAAAAAATGTTTAAAAAATTCTGACAAAAAAATATTTTTTAACATTTTTTTGTGTCTATTTAATGATACTGATAATCTAATATATGTTTTTTTATACTTATTTAATAAAGGTACAAAAATTTTGCTAATAAGAGACACAAATAACATTAAACTTGGAATTTTTTTTACAACAGCAATAATTTGAGTCAAAGTGCAAAATTTGAACTCTCATAACATCGAAATTTT